ATATTGAATAAATACATTTAGAGATTAATATGTTTTTTTGACCTGACGAAGATCCGTTTCGGATCGAAATGTAGTCAATAAAGCGGTGAATTGGGAGCTTAAAGAGTCTTTCTTGTTCTTTACTAGAGATTAATATGAAACAGGTGATTGACTTAGAGCAGGTTTTAGGGGAGTCTCCAACTCTGATCCTGCACTCTTAGAAAAAAGGGTTTCAAAAAGGTTATTTGCAGAGGGATAGGGTTCTACCTAGAACCTTTAACATCATAAGGACCGTTTTTGGAAGAAAGGGTTCTTTGATGATTCTTTGGAAGGCAAGAAGGATTATTTGGAAGGCAAGAAGGGTTCTACATAGAACCCTTCTGAATATTAATAAGCTTTTTTATTGTAAATATTTTTTTCTTTTAAATAGTGCCTGAGCATTAGTCTTTACCTCAGTGTTTAAACTTTAACATCAGGAGTTTGAGTCATCTTAAAAGATAGGCGTGAGGGGCTCCCAAGTGGTGCAGCAGTCTTTTATCGCTTGGGTGTCACTACAGACCCTGGTTCGTTCCCGGGCTGTATCACAACCGGCCGTGATCGGGAGTCCCATAGGGTGGCGCAGAATTGAACCAGCGTCGTCCGTGTTAGGGGAGGGTTTGGCCGGGGGGGCTTTACTTGGCTCATCGCGCTCTAGCAACTCCTTGTGGCGGGCCGGGCGCCTGCAGGCTGACCTCGGTCGTCAGGTGAACAGTGTTTCCTCTGACACGTTGATGCGGCTGGCTTCCAGGTTAAGCAGGCGGGTGTTAAGAAGTGTGGTTTGGCGGGTCATGTTTCGGAGGACGCATGACTCGACCTTCGCCTCCCGAGCCTGTTAGGGAGTTGCAGCAATGAGACAAGATCGAAATTGGGGAGAAAAAAAATAGATAGGTGTGAGAACGTTTGAAACTGTACCTATATGGGAATATTATGCATGTATTCCCTTAATTATTTTACATATACAGTACTAACATAGTTGCTAACTTTGCCATGATTTCTGATTTCTCAGTATTTTCAGTGATTTTACTGTGCAGAGAGTAGGAGAATATAATGGAGTATGAGTGAACCAGCAGTGCATTGTATGGTACACAGCAAATTGGCCAGTTTTACCTAGTGTTGATTTTTCAGTGTAACATTTCTAGTGTTGATTCAGAAGTTAAATTAACTTAGGCCTAGATTCAATCAGATCCAGCGTTAACCGGCGATAGCAGATACCAACATAGCAGATATTTTGGCACTGTCAGAGGAGTAACTGTGTTGGAATTACGTGTCATGAAGCCACAACCGCCCCACTCACGTTAGAAGTTCAGAACGAGAAAGTGTAGGCTGTATAGAAGTAATTACGCTCAAATTGAAAAATCATTAAACTAAATAATGAGGATTTATATCATCCTAATCGAGGTATAGATTACATTTCACATTCCAGTGTTCGAACTTGTCAATAAGGCTGCATGGGATTCCTGTTAATGCGACTTGTGGATTTGACAGCTATAAAGCAGTTCCACCTCCGACACGTTAAAACAACTGCTATGCAGATGTCGGCTAAAGCAGATCTGATTGAATATAGCCCTTTGCGTTTTTTTATCGCTTGGGTACAATTTTCACAAGTATGTGGTACATTTTCACAACTCTTAATACAAAAAATAGGTCAGACTAAAAAAGGCAGTTGTTTCTAAAACTCTAGGCACATTTTCAATTGACTAAGTACAACACCCAAAATCATAGTCACTTTCTCACCACACTTAATCAGTGTTTCATCTAGAAATAAATATTTCACATTACACATTTTTTTGGGGTTTGTATCATTTGATTTACACAACATGCCTACCACTTTGAAACAACCAAGAAATAAGACAGAAAAACAGAAAACTTGAGCGTGCATAACTATTCACCCACCCAAAGTCAATACTTTGCAAGTCTCTTGGGGTATGTCTCTATAAGCTTGGCACATCTAGCCACTATGATTTTTGCCCATTCTTCAAGGCAAAAGTGCTACAGCTCCTTCAAGTTGGATGGGTTCCGCTGGTGTACAGCAATCTTTAAGTCATACCACAGATTCTCAATTGGATTGAGGTCTGGGCTTTGACTAGGCCATTCCAAGACATTTAAATGTTTCCCCTTAAACCACTCGAGTGTTGCTTTAGCAGTATGCTTAGGGTCATTGTCCTGCTGGAAGGTGAACCTCCGTCCCAGTCTCAAATCTCTGGAAGACTGAAACAGATCTCCCTCAAGAATTTCCCTGTATTTACCGCCATCCATCATTCCTTCAATTCTGACCAGTTTCCCAGTCCCTGCCGATGAAAAGCATCCCCACAGCATGATGCTGCCACCACCATGCTTCACTGTGGGGATGGTGTTCTCGGGGTGATGAGAGGTGTTGGGTTTGCGCCAGACATAGCGTTTTCCTTGATGGTCAAAAAGCTCAATTTTAGTCTCATCTGACCAGAGTACCTTCTTCCATATGTTTGGGGAGTCTCCCACATGCCTTTTGGTGAACACTAAACGTGTTTGCTTATTTTGTTCTTTAAGCAATGGCTTTTTTTCTGGCCACTCTTCCGTAAAGCCCAGCTCTGTGGAGTGTACAGCTTAAAGTGGTCCTATGGACAGCTACTCAAATCTCCGCTGTGGAGCTTTGCAGCTCCTTCAGGGTTATCTTTGGTCTCTTTGTTGCCTCTCTGATTAATGCCCTCCTTGCCTAGTCCGTGAATTTTGGTGGACGGCCCTCTCTTGGCAGGTTTGTTGTGGTGCCATATCCTTTCCATTTTTTTTATAATGGATTTAATGGTGCTCCGTGGGATGTTCAAAGTTTCAGATATTATTTTATAACCCAACCCTGATCTGTACTTCTCCACAACTTTGTCCCTGACCTGTTTGGAGAGCTCCTTGGTCTTCATGGTGCCGCTTGCTTGGTGGTGCCGCTTGCTTAGTGGTGTTGCAGACTCTGGGGCCTTTCAGAACAGGTGTATATATACTGAGATCATGTGACAGATCATGTGACACTTAGACTGCACACAGGTGGACTTTATTTAACTAATTATGTGACTTCTGAAGGTAATTGGTTGCACCAGATCTTATTTAGGGGCTTCATAGCAACGGGGGTGAATATGCACGCACCACTTTTCTGTTATTTATTTCTTAGAATTTTTTGAAACAAGTTATTTTTTTAATTTCACTTCACCAATTTGGACTATTTTGTGTATGTCCATTACATGAATTCCAAATAAAAATCCATTTAAATTACAGGTTGTAATGCAACAAAATAGGAACTCTAAGCGTACTATCCTCCTTCAGGCCATGGATGAGGCATGCAAAGATTTCAATCCAGACCTATTTTAGGCTAGGAATCGCCATGCCAAAAGGTTTTTCCGGGATGCACGAATGCGTGCTAAACATTGTTTCTTTCCTTTCTGTCATTTGATTACATTGTGAAAGATCTCTTCAATGATTACACCTTTGATCACACATGGGATAGAAATGATATGATGTTGAGTAAATTGTAATGGGTAGTGCAAGTGTATTGCCTAATGTGAAAACAGTGTAATGTACTGTAATTTAATGTGCTGTAGCATACGACATTCAAAAAGGCAATTTTGAAACGTGTCTTAAATTTGTTGCTATTGGATTAACTGGTTGTTAAAATAACTAAATTGAGAAGATGTCATTATGTTGTGTTTTGGTGATTAAACCAATGTACTCATTATATTTCACAGTAAACTTATATTTTTGATTAATGGTTGTGGGGTGAAAGATGTCTGCAAACAAAATGAATGCACAATGAAAGGTTTTGAATGTAAGACTGGCTGCATTACCAGTTTGGAGTTTTGTTCTAAGAGTTTTGAAAATTCACCACATGAAAATAGCACCAAAGCGCAAAAAAAAAACAACTAACAATCAGTGGTGTACGAGAACTTCAGTGTTGGTGTTAATAACTGGAGTTGATTGTGAGTGTGTCAATTTTACTCTGTGTAGAGTAAAACACTTAAAACCATATGCCCATCATTATCATATTTCCCAGCATGCTCTATTGCAGGTTGATTTTCAGAATTGTGTGTTTCAATATCTGTGTTTTTGCATGTATATTGATTGGTGGATTAATCTTATACTACACCAAGATAAATAACATACATTTTTCTAAACTAATCCAGTCTGTTAGTAGTTGGACTTATTGCACATGTTACTGAAATGTCTGTTCCAGTTCAGATGATTTTGGTAGTCTTGGTTATAAATTGTCCCTACCATGTTTGATATCCTCTTGCTGGATTCCAATATGAATTACATATCACTTTACAAGCCAGCATAATGTGACTTGCAGGCCTAATGTGGCCTGTATACCTGGAGTTTCCTAACACCACTGTGTTAGGGTATAACTAGGCCCTCAAAGAAAGGCCTTAGTTATGTTATGGGAAATGTATTGTCATAAAGAGTTTAATTTTAAAGGCTAATGAGGCTGGTGGAACTGTTCATAGAGGGTTCTAGGAAGAACCTTTAGATTATAAAAGGGTTCATGGTAGAACCATTATACAGGGTTCTAGAAAGAACCCTTCATATAGGGTTCTAGGTAGAACTATTTATCTGCAAAGGGTTCTACCTAGCACCAAAAAGGATTCCCCTATGGGGACAAACCGAAGAACCTTATATGGTTCTACTTTTCTAAGAGTGTGGAGACCTACTGGGTGTGCAGGTTTTCAATCCAGACCTGCAATAACACACCTGACAACTGAAATATTCTCTCTGGACCATACTTAGTTGAATCAGGTATGTGTTACTGCAAGGCTTGCTCAAAACTCAGTAGCTCTACAGGTTTCTCTCTTACTAAAGAGCACCTTCAATCAACGAAGATCTACAATTTAATCCTAGCAGTGCTTCCCTTCCTTATCTTTTCCACAGGTTGAAGAACCCTGACTTAGGTGCTCGGTTGGACACCTTTGACTTGATGTTGCAGGTTGTTGTTGTTGTTGGGTATTTTGTTGTTCTAATGTCCTATTATGTCCTCTCTGCTGTGTGTTTGTCTGTGTGGTGGTGGTTTCCATGGTGACCCAGGCCTGAGACACATCTCCATCCTGAAGCTGGTCGGCATGGAGGCAGTGGACCAGGGAGGAGTCCTAGAGCTCTATCCAATCAACGGTAAGAACCCTGTTGTCTCCGCACCACCTATGTGTATCATCCTGCATATGGGAAATGGCTGCATGAAGATGAAACAAAACAAAACAAAACAAGTGGAAGGTCAATGGGGCTGTGTGTGTGTTATGTTTTGTTTCATCTTCAGTTCATACAGCCATGATGTTGAATTTCTGATGTTGTTTTATTGACACAGCAGGTAGGTAGCCCAGCCTCAGCCCTAACTCCTGCTGTCTCCCCCAGTCCAAGTCCCTATAGCCCAGCTGCTTCTTCTGTAAATTCTCTCCATGCTACCTCTCCATGCAACCTGTTTGATGTATCCTCTGTGGTAGGGGACCCAACCTAAAAAAACATGCTGATGCTGCTGCCTACACCACACACACGGCCCTCTATCCATACACTCCTCACAGCTGCACATGCACGCAGACAGCTCCTGTGGCCGGAGTGTTATGGAGGAAATATGTAAACCCTCCCTTTAATTTCTCTAGCCTGCCAAATAGTATTCCTATGTGCTCTTTGGGGACTTTTCCTTTAGTGTTGGGTCGTTCGCGAACGAACAGCTCTTTTTGAACTGATCTTTTTGTTGAACGTCGGGAACCGAATTGCATCTGTGAAAGAGCCATTCAATTGGCTCCCTCATTTACACACTATTACCACTGGTTTTTGAGCTCCCGACAACAATTATCTGCAGATACATTATAAAAACATTCTCTGAAGATTGTAATTCCTCACTGCAGTAAAAATTGATAGTGAGGAGAGAGCCTCATTCTGGTCCATACGTATTTTTGCAGTGCATTCCATTTTTTTATTCATTTCTTTGCAGTTCATCTAATAATTTGGTCAGGTAGAAATGATCAGGTAAAAATTGTACTTGCATATCACGATGTGACATAATTGCAGGCAACATTTTAGGCTTTACGTATTGGATTTGGTATTTTGAAGCACTACTGAACAAAGAGCTATTTGGGAGCCAAATTAAGGTCTCTTAGCTGAACGGAGTCAAATGATCCGGCTCACCGAAAAGACTCGGAATACCCATCACTACTTTCCTTGAGTGAAGTGGTAGTTTTGCAGGGGAAGATGATGGGGCCAAGGGCTGGAGCAGAGGTGTTGAATTGAGCAGAACCTTCAAAAGACAACAAAATGAATCCACACACACTTTCACATCAAATGGATAATATTAAATACAATTATTCCATAGCCGTATTAACACAATCTAATCCTTTCTAACTCTAGAGATGCAGCTTGGCCGTGGAGCGAGAATGCCTTCGCCTCTTTAGTCAAAGAAATCAAACATACAAAAGCCTATTGACTGACTCTCTCCATCGCTCTCTCCCTCTTCCAGGCAGTGCCACTGTGGAGCGTGAGGGCCTCTCAGCCGCCCTAGTCAAAGACATCCGCAACTACTTCCAGATCAGCCCAGAGTACTTCTCCATGCTGCTGGTGGGCAAGGACGGCAACGTCAAGTCGTGGTACCCGAGCCCCATGTGGTCCATGGCCAACATCTATGACCTGGTGGACTCCATGCAGCTCCGCAGGCAGGAGATGGCCATCCAGCAGTCGCTGGGAATGCGCTGCCCCGAAGACGAGTACGGGGGCTACGGGTACCATCACAATGGCTATGACGGTTACCAGGACGCTTATCACCAGGGATACGGTTACTAAAGGGGGCGGGGAGAGGGTGTCAATAGTCAATAGTCTATCAGCAATGATATGGCTTCTAAAGGGTATGTTGCCTAATCTCGTAGATGCTTCTTGATGGCCTTTTGTAGATTTGAATGGATCAGATAGGTGTACGCAAGCCCTCTGGTAGTCTAGATGGGATTTCCACCATGTTGCTTGAATCAGATCTACAAGTTAGCAGTAAGTATCTAGGGGTAGGGGAAAGGAATTTCATTAAAATTGGGCGTGTGTGTGTGTGTGACGGGCATGAGTATAAACTTTGTCTCGCCTCCTATTAGTGGATTGTGTTTTCAGGAAGTTTATGCACAGGGTTAAAGGGTCAGGGGTTAGCTCTGTACTTCCTGGTTTTGAACTAGAAGGAAATAAAGGATTGGATAGTGATGTCATCAATCTCAATCTCTCTTTATATCAGTCTTGTTGTTGTGTATTAAGAATTACAATCAACAGTTTTTCAACATTTCAAATTTTCTTTCAGTCTACTTCAATTCCATTCCTGACCAAATTTTCATTTAGACTTCCACAGTCTGGACCTTATTGTAGATACAAGCGTAAAGATAAGTCAAAACTTTTGTATTTATTGGATTTTCTATTTGAGGAAGTTTTATTTGAGGCTATATCAGAGCTATAACTGTCCGTTTCTAAGATTATTTTCAACTTTATTTCTCTTTTGTAAAGTTTCCTGTTGCTACATACTGTTCATATTTATACTCCATTGTGCTTTACAAATAAAACTTTGTTTACTATCAACAGTTTCTCTGAGGTAATACACATCTCAGTACTTTGTATAAGCGTCTAGTCAAAAGTTATCTATGCACACAGTAAACATATATTATGCTACACCTCCCCCTGTTGGTTCAATTTGAACATGACAACTCAGATCAACAGAATGGGAAAATACAGTCAGTAACCTAGACAAATTATGTTATTTTTGGCAGTAGTTTTTAATGTTCATTTGGTAATCTGTTGACTGTTTTGTGTTAGAAAAATAGTAATTATGCACTGTATCATAATAATGGTCATGTAAGGAACCAGGTGTAAATTGCCTTAAATGTATACAACATAATTCTACTGATTTCATAAACTTAACTCCACAATAAACTTTTTTGAATACAAGGTAGAAGTGTAAATTATATGGCACAATAAGCATGCATAGGAGAGGAGTAACACAGTTGAACACATGTAAACCACTAGAGAAGGCAGTTATTTTTCAGTGTGTAATGTAAAACACAATCTTACATGTTTTACCATCAGATTTTCTGAACATAACATGGACTGAGACCAGAGCAAATCACATGGTCCTTGTGCTGGTACTGTATGGTCTTTGTAAGCGCTTAATAATGATAAGACAAACTGAGTGGTTGGCCATCAGAAAGACAAATTAATTTAGCTCTCAACGGTCCAACAGCCTGGAGTAGATTTCTTATTAGCCACCAACATAACGCAAAAAACAACAACTCTGCTTTTGAAAAAAAGAGACAAAATAAGATCATAACCGGCAGATATTAACTTCTCAATATATGACAGCTTTGCCAGTGTGTCAATAACAGCAATAGCATTATTTTAAATACAATAACATATACAAAATTGTATATTTAGCATTTCTTCCATTACAATATTATTTGTATAACATATTCATACACAAACAAGCATATTTTTTAATAGATGCGGTAAAGAGGACCATGGAACGCAGCCCATGGGGGATGGAAGGACGCCGGATTAGCGCACATTCAACAAATCTGATCTAACAAAGTGGATAAATGTGAACAGGCACACAATTTGGTTACAAAAATTTGATTTTGATATATTTGGCTGTTTTCGCAGCATAACATTTAGAAGTTGTTTCTTTTCAGGTTTAAAAGAAGTGACTGCTAAATGCTAACTCCCGTTCGTATAAGCTGGTAGCATAGCTAGCATACAGAACTCGCATGTGGTAGTCAAAGTCGTTTTTTAACTGCAATGCAGTTGATTGGTGACGATGACATAAACATGTATTGGGGTTAACATCCATACAAGCATTATACTCAGATTTTTACCTCAACATAGTTTGAAATACACATATAAACAATAGCCTAAATGTAGGAAACATTTTCTGGGGGTCAGTCAGGATATTCAGGATCTTTTCCCCACGCGTTTCCATGGCATTTCCCTTGTTTCTGTTTAGTTCCATTGACCTCTTTACCGCATCTATGATGTACAATCAATTATTATGACATCATAATCACAGTAGGCCAACAAAATCACAGGCCAAGCAACTCTGATGTCATAATACACAGCCACAGTATGTCCATTCTGATGTCACAGGCTGATGATGTCACAGGCCAGGTTACAGAAAAGTCATAATTCAGGACTGACAGTTTGTCCATTGTGATGTCACAGAGCCAGGCATTCTGATGACCTCACAGGGTTGAGCCATTATGAGGTCTTAATGGGTGGCTAGAGAGACTCCTCCTCTGATTCACTGTCTGTGTTGGGCTTGGTCAGCCTCTCCAGCTCCTCCCCATCCTACACAAACACAAAAGGAAGCATGGTGGAGATTAGAGAGGAATAACACCAGAAAGACGAACTTCTGAAAGCAGTGGGTGGATGCGGTATGGTTAGCGTTTACCTGCTTGGTGTCGGTGAACAACAGCGATTAAAAACATGTAGAATCTAGGGATGGGCATTTGACATTATTTCACTATTCAAATAATATCAGGACATTTCTGGGGATATCCGGATAGTCAGATTTTTTTTTTTTCGACCAATCAGAATGACGCAAATGCAGAGGTAAACAGCGGAAGGCTGCTTTTCTCCGTAGTTTTGGGCTAAAAGCAACAGTGAAAGAGATGATAACATTTTAACATTTAAGTCATTTAGCAGACGCTCTTATCCAGAGCGACTTACAAATTGGTGCATTCAACTTAGTGGTACAACCAGTGGTACAGCCAGTGGGTACAACCACTCCTTTTTATTTTTTTTATTACATTTACATTTTTGTCATTTAGCAGACGCTCTTATCCAGAGCGACTTACAGTTAGTGAACACATATATATATATTTTTTTATACTGGCCCCCCGTGGGAATCGAACCCACAACCCTGGCGTTGCAAACGCCATGCTCTATCAACTGAGCTACATCCCTGCCGGCCATTCCCTCCCCTACCCTGGACGACGCTGGGCCAATTGTGCGCCGCCCATGAATCTCCCGGTCGCGGCCGGCTGCGACAGAGCCTGGATTCGAACCAGGATCTCTAGTGGCACAGTTAGCACTGCGATGCAGTGCCTTAGACTACTGCGCCACTCAGGAGTAATGTGGATATTGATGTTGTATTATACAGGGCACATTTGTAAAAGAGACCTAGGTCTCAGTATGTCTTCCCTATTAAAATAAAGGTTAAAATAAAATAATATACATCAAATACCCACGCAGTGAAGCTCAGAATCAATAGCCAGCTGTATGAAATGGCCATTAGGGTAAAATATGACTAAACAGAGCTGTATGCTTTTAATATCCTGGAAACCGCTGACCACAAAATGTTTAAAGTACTGATGTGATGTACAGTAATGGATTGAGGGAGCTAAGGTCCTTGCCTCCATCTACATTAGTTGTTTAGTGATGATGTAGTGCAGATAAAGTTAGTGTGTCAGCGATAGGAGAGTAGAGTAGGCCTTTATGTAGATACATCATGGAGATGCACTCCTAGTTGCGGTAATGTATGTCCTATGTCCCCTCTGCTCTGCCCAGACCCTCAGTCCTAAGCGCTAAAGAGTTCCAGGGGGACCCACCCAGCCCCAGTCTGTGGTGGACAGACAGACCAAGCAGCCCAATGGCTCTCTCTCTCCCTGCTTCCTCTCTCTCCCTGCCTCCTCTCTCTCTCTCCCTGCCTCCTCTTTCTCTCTTGCTCCCTGCCTCCTCTCTCTTGCTCTCTCCCTCCTCTCTCTCTCCCTGCCTCCTCTCTCTCTCTCTCTCCCTCCTCTCTCTCTTTCTGATCAGGTGAATGAGCTCTAACAGTGGGCCCTGAGTAGTGTGATAATATAACTATACTGACTATCTCTGAGTAAAGCTGCCAGGTCACCCATGATACAAGTCAGTATTCCAAAGGTTGCAAGTTTGAATCCAGCGATAGAAATTTACATTTGACATTTTAGTCATTTAGCAGACGCTCTTATCCAGAGCGACTTACAGGAGCAATTAGGGTTAAGTGCGTTGTTCAAGGGCTCATTGACAGATTTTTCACCTAGTGGGCTCGGGGATTCGCCCAACGATCTTAAACGCTAGGCTACTTGATATTTTTGTTTTAAGCCTATCCCAAACCTTAACCCTTATCTTAACCATTCGGAGTTAATGCCTAAACTTAACCCTAACCTTAAAAATGTGGAGTTAATGCCTAAACTTAATCTTAAACACGTCAAAATGTGACATTTGAAAACATGGATTAACGTCTAATTCTGACATGAGACTGTGAGAGCTAGTTGTCAGAGTGTGTAAAAAATATATAAAAGCAACGATTCCGCAGGTGAAGAAGCCAGATGTGGAGGTCCTGGGCTGGCGTGGTTACACATGGTCTGCGGTTGTGAGGCCGGTTGGATGTCTTGCCAAATTCTCTAAAACAACGTTGGAGGCGGCTTATGGTAGATCAATTAACATTGAATTCTCTGGCAACAGCTCTGGTGGACATTCCTGCAGTCAGCATGCCAATTGCATGCTCCTTTAAAAACTTGAGACATCTGTTTCGTTGTGTTGTGTGACAAAACTGCACATTTTAGAGTGGCCTTTTATTGTCCGCAGCACAAGGTGCACCTGTGTAATGACCATGCTGTTTAATCAGCTTCTTGATATGCCACACCTGTCAGGTGGATGGATTATCTTGGCAAATGAGAAATGCTCACTAACAGCGATGTAAACAAATGTGTGCACAAAATCTGAGAGAAATAAGCTTTTTGTGCGTATGGAAAACTTCTGGGATCTTTTATTTCAGCTCATGAAACATTCCATGTTGCGTTTATATTTTTGTTCAGTATATATTTATACTCTGGACTCTGGATTTGTGTGTATTGTTGTGAATTGTTAGATATTACTGCACTGTTGGAGCTAGGAACACAAGCATTTCGCTACACCCGCAATAACATCTTCTAAATATGTGTATACAACCAATCAAATGTGATTTGATTTGGTGTTCTGTACAGGTACTGTTCTGTTCCACACCCCATGGCTGGTGTTCTGTAGAGGTACTGTTCTGTTCCACAACCCATGGATGGTATTCTGTAGAGGTATTGTTCTGTTCCACACCCCATGGCTGGTGTTCTTTTAAGCCCTCTGCCCTCTCTCCTCTCTGGCTCTGGGCCGTCACCAGTCTTCATGCCTGCCTGCCCTGCAGCCTATTGGGCATCAAGCCTGGCACTCGCAGACCAGACGAGAAGGGAGGGAGGGAGGACGGGATAGAGGGAGGACGGGATAGAGGGAGTGAGGTAGGGATAGAGGGATAGAGGGAGGTAGGGATAGAGGGACAGAGGAGAGGGGGACAGGGGCTGAGGACACCCTAATAACCCTAATACACATAGCCTGAGGACAGACATGCGGTCCACCCATCTCCCTAAATAGAAGCGACTGCTATTTCAGATTCTCTGAAGGCATGCGGTCTATCCATCTCGCTCTCCCTACAAACAATCCCTTCTACTTCATACAACCCCTGCTGGCTTCACCCGATCACCCTCTTCTCTAGACACATGCAGTTACAGTTACCACCCCCCCCCCCCCCAATGGGTTTCCTAGGATAACATGTAATCTCTTAAACGTGTAGGCCTTTCGTTACAGTTACCAACCCCAATGAGTTTCCTGGGGGTGACATGTAATCTCTTAAACGTGGGTTTCATTAGGTCAAATGCAACATTCTGGAACATGAATAAATAACCAGGCCTTGAATCTACCACCCATGAAGGGTTATCTGAGGTATAGTGTAACGGGTTCCAGTCTACCACCCATGAAGGGTTATCTGAGGTATTGTGTAATGTGTTCCAATCTACCACCCATGAAGGGTTATCTGAGGTATAGTGTAATGTGTTCCAGTCTACCACCCATGGAGGGATATCTGAAGTACTGTGTAATGGGTTACAGTCTACCACCCATGAAGGGTTATCTGAGGTATAGTGTAATGTGTTCCAGTCTACCACCCATGGAGGGATATCTGAAGTACTGTGTAATGGTTACAGTCTACCACCCATGAAGGGTTATCTGAGGTATAGTGTAAGGTGTTCCAGTCTACCACCCATGAAGGGTTATCTGAGGTATTGTGCTAGGGCAGGGGCCACCAACCGGTCGATCGTGATCCTAGTCGATCACCAAACATTTCTGTAAAAAGACCAACGATAAAGTCTTGTGTTCCTATTTTTGTATTAGTTTGATAGAACTGATTCTGTTACAAAAAGGTTTTCTGGTGAGTGTTTTACATTGATCTGTGTCAGGTCTTGTGGAAACTATGTCAGGGTCTCGCCAGTAATTGTTATTTGAAGTGGAGAAAATAGCATACCCATGTCAGGGCAGACCGGAGGGCTTAATGCACAGCAGTAGCTCAACGGCAACACACAGTTATAAAAACAACATTCAAAAGTTTGTTGTTCTATTAAATTAAGTGTTTAAAATCACATGGTATATCCTTGTAGGTAACAATGTCACAAGGATAATCTAATTTAATTTATGAACACTCATTCAAGTAATCGAATGCTAACGTCCGTTTGGATATCCTGATTTTCGATTAACCGTGCCCATCCCTAGTATAAATCGACAGCAAATGAACTGAAATTGATGGCCAGAGGTGGTGTTCTGCGGTCAGAGACGATAGGATGGCCACACACTGTTTTTCAGTACACTAACCGTCCGTTGCTCTGGTGTGCTTCCTGTCTTAGGGGGGATTCTCACAACACAGTCTATGTAATGTCACTACCCTTTCACATTTCTGACTGTGTTTACCTAATAGCCATTTGCACCTTAAGGATTTGGGGAAGGTTTGCTGATCCTATATCTATGTCTACAGGCAACTTCCACACAGAGCGTGTCCTCACAAAGCCTCCATAGATCGAGAACCTCCCATTGATCATCATACTCTAACCAACCCAATTTAAAAAAATCTAATGCAGTTACCCAGGGCTAAGGCTGTGGTGGGAATCTAAACTCTGTTCATTACACAGAATCACATTAGTTTCCCCACAGTCTAAATCATATTACACACAAATGTGAATCATGGCTGCCCTCACATAGAGCAGTCTCTGTGTGTATGTGTGTTTGCCTGTGTCGCACTGTATATGTGTGAGAGTGGGTTGTGTTTATGTTTGAGTGCCTGTGTGTATAGATTTCCGTGTTGTGTGTGTGTGTGTGTGTGTGTGTGATCATCATACTCTAAGTGCATTCGGAAAGTATTCAGACCCCTTGACTTTTTTTCCACTTTGTTACGTTAAAGCCTTATTCTAAAATTGATTAAATAAAACATTTTCCTCATCAATCAACACACAATACCCCAAAATGAACGCAAAAACAGGTTTAGATTTTATTTGCAAATGTATTAAAAAAAATATATATATATACACACCTTATTCACATAAGTATTAAAACCCTTTGCTATGAGACTCGAAATGAGCTCAGGTGCATCCTGTTTCCATTGATCATCCTTGAGATGTTTCTACAACTTGATTGGAGTCCACTTGTGGTCAATTCAATTGATTGGACATTATTTGGAAAGGCACACACCTGTCTATATAAGGTCCCACAATTGACAGTGCATGTCAGAACAAAAAACAAGCCATGAGGTCGAAGGAATTGTCCGTAGTGCTCCGAGACAGGATTGTGTCGAGGCACATATCTGGGGAAGGGTACCAAAAAATGTCTGCAGCATTGAAGGTCCCCAAGAACACAGTGGCCTCCATCATTCTTAAATGGAAGAAGTTTGGAACCACCAAGACTCTTCCTAGAGCTGGCCACTCGGCCAAACTGAGCAATCGGGGGAGAAGGGCCTTGGTCAGGGAGGTGACCAAGAATCCGATGGTCACTCTGACAGAGCTCTAGAGTTCCTCTGTGGAGATGGGAGAACCTTCCTGTAGGACAATCATCTCTGCAGCGCTCCACCAATCAGGCCTTTATGGTAGAGTGGCCAGATGGAAGGCACTCCTCAGTAAAAAGGAACATGACAGCCTGCTTGGAGTTTGCCAAAAGGCAGCTAAAGGACTCACAGGCCATGAGAAACAAGATCCTCTGGTCTGATGAAACCAAGATTGAACTCTTTGGCCTGAAGCGTCACGTCTGGAGGAAACCTGGTACCATCCTTAAGGTGAAGCATGGTGGTGGCAGCATCATGGTGTGGGGATGTTTTCCAGCGGCAGGGACTGGGAGACTAGTCAGGATCGAGGGAAAGATGAACGGAGCAAAGTACAGAGAGATCCTTGACGGAAACCTGCTCCAGAGCGCTCAGGACCTCAGACTGGGGCGAAGGTTCACCTTCCAACAGGACAATGACCCTAAGCGCACAGCCAAGACAACGCAGGAGTGGCTTCGGGACAAGTCTCTGAATGTCCTTGAGTGTCCCAGCCAGAGCCCGGACTTGAACCCGATCGAACATCTCTGGAGAGACCTGAAAATAGCTGTGCAGCAACGCTGCCCATCCAACCTGACAGAGCTTGAGAGGATCTGCAGAGAAGAATGGGAGAAACTCCCCAAATACAGGTGTGCCAAGCCTGTAGCATCATACCCAAGAAGACTTGAGGCTGTAATCGCTGCCAAAGGTGCTTCAACAAAGTACTGAGTAAAGGGTCTGAATAATTTTGTAAATTAATACATTTGCAAAAATGTCTAAAAACCTGTTTTTGCTTCGTCATTATGGGGTATTGTGCGTAGACTGATGAGGGGGAGAAAAAAACAATTTAATGAATTTTAGAATACGGCTGTAACGTAACCAAATTTGGAAAAAGTCAAGGGGTCTGAATGCTTTCCGAATGCACTGTATACATTCAAGCATGTCCTCACCCCTCGCGACCTCTGCAGCACCTCTCCGTTTATGACACGTAGCTTCTCACGCTGTAGGCCGTACTCAGGATCTTTGGGCCGGCTGGCGTTGTAGACAAAGATGGCGAGCAGCACCACGGGTGCCTGCAGGAAGAAGTCCAGCGAGGGGTGGAAGTCAAAGAGGAAAAGGGACAGGGCCGTGACCAGGACTGTAGTGATCTGGCCTGTCAGCACGTGGAACATGTTGTCTCTGAACTTCAGGATGAACGCCACCGACAGGCCCAGGGCAGCTAGGGATAAAACATTTGATATATTAATAATGTATATACTGATAATGATATATCAATAATAATGCATTTACAATAATCAACCTCAGGATGAACGCCACTGACAGGCCCAGGGCAGCTACTGATAAATTATGTAATGTATTAATAATAATGTTTATATTGATAATGATGTATCAATAATAATGCATTCCTAATAATCAGCCTCAGGATGAATGCCACCAACAGGCCCTAACTGTCAGGAATAATGGATCAATATATTAGTCATGAATAGTGTATCAATAATAATGCATATATTATATACACAGTATATACTGTACCTATTCATGCTAATGAATGAACCAGTCCTTTGCAATGTATGGGATTAATTCAGTGTGTATGTGTGGCCTACCAGTGACCAGCACCAGTGCAAGTGAGTAGACGTTGTGACCGTAGAAGAGGCCACAGTGGATGGTTAGACCCCTCGCCTCGCCCCCTAGACCCAGAGTCAGACCGTTGAACAGCATGCCAAACATGTACCTGCAACCACATACATAGATTTTAGACTGAGATGGGGTGTGGGTGGGTGTGTTTTTGTTTGTGTGTAGTTGGTGGTTATTGGGATGTTTGGAAGCTATGTGCATATGTGAGTGTGTCATATGTCTGCATTCATGCATGTGTGTGCCAACATTCACATGAGTTCTTACAGTTTGCTGTTCTGGATGAAGATGCTCTCTTGGAGCTGGTCTCCCTCCTTGAGGATCTTCTCGTTGTAGATGTTGGCCATAGAGGAGATAAAACACTGGAGCACCAGGAGGACGTGACCCATGCCCAGGGAGCGCAGGGTCCTCATCAGCCTCCCCCGCCACGCCTCAGCCTGCCCCGGCAGCACTGAGCTCCATGTGCTGGAGTTACTGGAAGGGAGGGAGAGGAGACAGCAGGAACACTGACTTAGACTGACTTATTGACAGGGAAAGAAGACTTGTGGTGTCATGTAGGATGTGTGAAGATGTCCTAATACGGACACTGTACAGAGGAGTGCTGAATTCCACAGACTGCCTCCCTTCCTCCTTCCCTCCCATCCAGCCCTCTGCCAACCTGTCGTTCCTTCGTTGCTCCTCTAGCTGTGTGTAGAGCAGGCAGCTGTTGGTGGGTGGGGAGAGGGGGCTGGGGTGGAGGCCCGGCATCGCTATGGCCAGTTGGCTGCCTCCCGACCCCATCGTCAAGGAGACAATGGACAGGAAGAGGATGACCAGGGAGGCCCACTGCACCCAGGACAGGCGTCTCCTAGGGGAGAGGAGGGGAATGGCAGCGGTCAGAGATGAGCCCATCGAAATAGGCTGACCCTAAATGCTGATCTGAAATCTGTTTAAGATTTTTCCTCCATAATGGTTCAAGCTGTTATTGTTTTTGTTTTGTTTAATGTAACGGAAGAGTGGAGCATCCAGTTTTGTGGTAAAAAAACAAAACAGTATTTGTTGTTTGAAATAACTTTTGTTGTAATATCGCAAACGGTCGTGCCAGTTTCACAAAGTACGGATTCCAGCTTGACCAGTGCTGTCAAAAACACAATTTTCCTGTGTTTTATATACATTTCCACACTACAAGGTTGGAATAATACTGTGAAAATGATAATGCCCTTTTAGTGTAAGAGCTGTTTGAAAAGACCGCCTGAAATTTCAGCCAGTTGTGGTGGGATGTAGTTTTGAACTGTCTAGTGACATCACAAGGAGGTAAATGTGTTAATAGACCAATAAGAAAGAGTACCAAACCTCTCTACCAATAACAGCTAGTTTTCCCCTCACCACTCCCAGACAGTCCTAGCTAAATTGCTCCTTGCTGAGAAGCTATTTTTGTTTCTTTTTGACCATTTTAATAGAAAACAATCACAGTAAGGTACTTAATTGTTACCCAGAAATGATTTGATAGTGAGATAAAAACATCTGCATTGGTTAGGGTTGTGGCAGGGTAAGCTGATCCTAGACCGGTCATTAGGGGAAACTTATACCTCGAGTGCCACTATCAGCTATGTAAACAAACATATAGGCCCAGTACAGAACACCATGTCCAGAACAAAACTGTGACTTACTTCAGCACAACTCTGAACAGGATGGCTGTGGTCAGGATGACAAAGTTGGAGAACAACACTGCCATGGCCTGAGGGGGAAAGGAATCAGAGACAACTGAGGCTTTAACATGGGCATTTAGGACACTGCAGTGTGTTATTAATAAACTCACAGGCTGTAGGTAGGTCATGACGTAGAAGATGATGAGGTTATCCAGAAAGTAAAGGAAGGCGGGAATGGACCACTTCATGAAACTCAGGAAGGCAGAGCCCGAGGAGCAGCCCAGCTCTCGACATGAACGACCCTCTGGAATACATACACTTTCATCTCTAATTTCCCTTCTCTCATGTACTTTCTTGCTCGACAACAACAATTCTAAACATGCTGAATTAGGACATTGGACAAGATGGTGTCATCTCCCTCAGTGCCCATCTCTTACCTCTGACCATGACTCTGAGAGACATGCCAAGACAGAAGAGCAGCTTGAGCCCCTCCGCCAGCAGGTTGACAGACGCAGGGAGGAAGTCATACTTGTTCTCTACAGGTCAAAGAAGAGAAAAAACAGTTACATAAAAACATTGATTCAAACTGAAGTCCATAAATGACAATGTAGTACTAACGTGCGTTGACAGAGAACTTGAGCAGCAGGATGCGGGAGGAGCCCAGGGTGACGAAGCCCAAGCCCAGGGCCAGAGTGTACGCTGAGGAGCGGGAGCACAGGCTGGGACACAGTCTGGAGCTGAGCCGGCAGCACGCCATGGCTGAGGCTGGGGTCACACACACGCAGGGCTCCTGGCTCACTGAAACACACACAACAAAACAATACCACTGTAAGCTGGTATATGAGTGCAGGCCAAGAGCCGACATGTAGGCAGAGCACGCAGAGGTGGGAAATAAGAAACAAAAGAAGAGAAACAGTAAGAGCAGAGAAAACAAAGACAACAGCAGTAAGCTAGGCCTTCACTGTCCGCAGCACACACCCCAGTGCTGAGAGAAACTGTTCACAGCCTAACCCACCCTATCTAACCCTGCTAGTTTCAGGTCACTCTCCATACAGTTGACTACAGCAGTACATTTAGGCCTAGATAGTAGCCACATTTAACTCCTCCCACTCTCCCTCTACTAACACAACATCCCAAACAGGTCTAGCTATTCTGCTCCTCTCTCAAGCCACAGGACATCACCTAGGCTATATACAGTAACTAGTGTTGTCCTTAAAGTAGCCACGGTTATCACCTCTCCGCAGAGTCTTCCTGTTTGTCAAGCTGATTAGAAGCATGTGAGAGCCATGAACAGACAAAGACAGGGCCAAACACAAGAGACACACACAGAGGATTTTCTTCCAGAGTACAGGAACACAGTTCAACTGCAGTTATTATTACATTAGCTGAAATGGTTGCTAAAGTAATGTTCAGTGTTTACAAAAACAACAAATGGACAAAAGGTTACATTGTGGTTATTTTAAATTATGAATAGAGGTCATGCTAAATTTGCATGAAACACCCTGTTATAGGACAAGTTGTATATGAAGACTAATGTGTGCATGGCATGTTTGCATATAGCCTAATGCAAAGGCAATGGCAATATGTAATGGCAATAGGCTTACTGTACTTTAAGACAATCTGTTAACAGTTCATGCAGGCAGAGCTATACTAGCTAATGCAGGTGTATGGGCACGTCATCAAACGCCTATCACAAACTAAAAGGGATAGTTAGTTAGCCTAGAAGTCATACATTTATCAAGCTATATTGTGATTGTTCACATAAACTGTCAGTCCCCACAATAGCAATTAGCTAGTACAGCTAGATACATTAGTTAGCTAACTAGCTTCATTTCCAGCTGCTTGATCGCATGGTGGTGTCTCAAGAATGTAAACATCGCACACAGCACTGTGTAGTGTCGAGCACTGCCTGTGTCACTCCCTCGAATCTGTCCACAAAAACTAGAGTTTCTCTATGAAGAGTAGGCTACGACATCCTGGTGTTAAAATTCAACAAAAACTAAGAGTTAATACTTAGCTAATAGAAATCGTACCTTTTCTACAGCTCTCTGTCTACACATTGTAGATCATCAACTTACTTCGTGTTTGCTTCCTGGTAGCCCTGGACGCGCGCAAGCGCAATGGGTATGAAACGGGGATTGGCGAAGTCATCTTTTAAGGTCTTTAAAATATGCACTATTCAGAAATCACTCCGCCATTTTCTGGTTGGTAAAATTATAATAGTTCGCCTAATTTCAGTTTATGTGACAAAACAAGCAAGTATAGTGTATAGAATCATTGTATAATCTAAAGCGCTGTGAAACATATTTTCCATAACCAAAAATATTGTATTTTCAGTTGTTTGAAGCTGGTGTACAAAACCGAAAGTTAAAGATGCAAAACCGAAACTTAAAAACGGGAAGCATAGAAATAGCGCACATAGAACAGATCTACCGCTTTTCACACTTGCTTTCAATGAGAATGACATATCTATAACTAAATTTATGTTTGTTGTTTGTTTCAAGCAAAAATGTATGTATTGCAGCTTAATTGCATACTGTGATTGGCATACTGAATTAAAATTCAGACTAATGTCTGTGATTATGCAATCCCTTGCCAACAATTTGTGCAGGTAGTAACACAGGTTCTGGGTATAACACAGATATGACAACCGGGGAGAAATCTCAGGTTGCCTTTTAATTTCATTTTGACCTGGTTCCCTACACTTACCATTCTTCCCATGCAGCTCAGTTGGTAGAGCATGGTGTTTGCAATGCCAGGGTTGTGGGTTCGATTCCCACGGGGGGAAATGTGAAAAATGTATGCACTCACTAACTGTAAGTTGCTCTGGATAAGAGTGTCTGCTAAATAACTATTTATTTTATTTTCCCTTTTTCTCCAACCATTGTTGTGCATGGGCTATTGCTGAACTATCTGTCCCTGGTGATGAGTGAACAGGACCAGGCTTATCATGGAAACTTTTGGGGAAAGCATCTGTGGGACACCCATGATGCACAGTAAGGAATTAGCCTGAGGTCTGGAACAGTTATGAATAAATATCAAAACAAGAGTGTCATCTCCAGTGCATAGTAACATGTGTGAAGGAAATTACTTCACTGGGAGTGACTAACAGTAAATCACATGGTTTCAATTAACAAGATTTAAAAAAAATATTTTGGAACACTGCGCAATGCCCTGGCTGGGACTTGTGTGTGTGTGTGTGTGTGTCTCTGTGTGCTCTTGTTTCTGTGTCCTGTGATAAAGCACAGAGTGGACTCTTCTTGTCAGATCACAGTTTCCTGCCATCCAGAACAGACAGACTGTCCACACCTGGAGTTCCAACCCCAGATATGAGGCTTCATTCCTGGGAAGGGACTCACCGTCTCCTGCCTCTCCTGGTGCTCTTCTCGGTTCTCTTGTCCCACACTACAGCAGAGCAGCACTCAGACAGGAAGAGATACTACTATATTGCTGCAGTGAACATAGATTGGGACTACACATCTAATGGACCACACAGGTAAAACTAAAACAACATATTTCAATAGTTTTATATGAGATTTCCTATATTCCTTTTTTTTTCTGTGACCTTTTTTCTTTGTGTTGGGTCCTGCATGTGAAGTTGACTCTCTTTGGCCTCGCTAAGAGTAGTGTTAATTCAAGTGTTTGGCACATGCTGTTGACTACATGACAGATTTACTGAGTTGATCTGGCTCTTGTCTTCTTGGAGGGTGTACCGTGTAATTGTTTGATCTGGTGTATAGGTCATGATAGCACCACAGTGCTCTCTCACTTTTGTTCCACTGAATGGAACATGGGACAAAATGAAACCTTACTGTTCTTTCTTTATATCATTGTGTATATGTCAAGTATCTCTATCAATTATGTGAAGATTACAGTCTGGTTAGAAGGCAATATTGTCCTCATTGGAAAAAGTTAGGCTTTAATAATTATGTTTTATGTTTTAACGTAAACTCAATACATTTACAATCTCCAGTCAATTCATTTTGACAAGTTCTTGATTATTATCACCTTTATGATGTGAACCGAGACTGTGGAATATGAAAGGATGTACATCATAATTATGTATTTAACTTACTGAATTATGTGTAGAATTTGTCTTTCTATATCATCCACTGTGTGTTTATCATTGGGTCCTTTTCTGTTCATTCACTATTTGTGTTTTTCCATTGTTGTCTAGGTCTGGCCCCTCCTATAAGAAAGTGGTTTACAGGGAGTATGAGGAGGGATTCAAGCAGGCCAAGACCCATCCTTCCTGGTTAGGTAAATTATGTTTATGCTTTGGCGTTTTCACCGTTGTCGGGTAAATGATGTGTAGGGTCAGGGCTATCCCACATACAGTCTGTCTTTCATTAGTGAATGTTCCTGTTTCCCCATACAGTCACAACCCCACCTCAAGTTCCATCATGACTGATAAACACAATAAACATGGAAAGATAGATTTACTCCTTTCTGCATGTACTGTATGTGTGTCTTTCGGAGTGGTTGGAATAAAGAGGAACTTACATTTCCGTTGGACCTTCTTCTCCATCTTCTTTTCTGACCGAATGACAATGTATCATGTTGAATGATGAATTTAATTTCTGTTATAGCATCAATGGTGTGAATTTAACTCTGAAAGTGTAAAATGTACACTATTGTCAATGAACATATGAGTCCCACTGAACTGGTATTAAAATAATAATTTTGAAAGTGTTAAAGATTTAACTCTGTTGCAGTGTTTCCCATTTTACTTTTAAAATGTTCATAACACTTGATTTGGTGTAAACTGGACTCCCTTTGCTTACTGCTGACTCTGTTACACTTTCTCAGTGTAAGGAATTAACACCTGTAGTTTTACAGTAAATCATTTTTGGGTGTTGTTTAAAAACTGTATGGTGTAAAGTCTAATTTTCATATTTCCCAGGATGCCTTTTCTTTTTGAGTAAATTGTAGAGTTAACACCCATGACTGTATTTGTTAGTGACAGAGACATGGTTGATTAATTATTTCCTATGGTTTTCACCAAGTGAGTTCCTGGGCAAATGTTATCATTAAAATGTAACTATAACAATACATTACATATATCATAAGGCCTTACTTATTGGCCTACTTGATGGCCTAGTTTTACCCCAACACAGTGGTGTTAGGAAACTTCGGGTTTACAGGCCACAGCAGGCCTGCACGTCACATTATGCTGGCTTGCAAAGTGATATTTAATACCTATTGGAATCCAGCCAGAGTTAAGATATCCAACAGTTGGAATTTTTATTCACCTGCGCCCTGCATTCAGAATGACTTTCAGGATTAAGAGATTTCATGAAAAACACTACCTAAACCATTTATACTGGAACAACCATTTCAGTAACAGGCACAATACATCTAACTGATTGGATTAGTTTAGATTTTTTTTTTTATTATTTATCTTTGTGTAGCATAAGATTAAGCACAGATATATATATATATTTTTTTTTTAAAAACTGCAGTAGCATTTTGGGAAATATGATAATGATAGGTGTGGTTTTGATGGGACTGTTTAAATCTCCACAGTATAAAACAATATCTCTGGTTATTAACACCAACACTGAGTGTTAGTGTCACTCTTACAGTGTGAATTTAACTCCCGAATCAACAGTATACATTTTATACTGAAAAATAAACACTGGCCAATTTGCTGTGTGTTATAGCGCCTTTAGTCGCAAAGTGCTTTGCATTGTATGGGATAATATGGAGTCCACCACCACTAAATTGTAGAAAAAGTACTTTTTCTTCCATGACTAACTACCAGGAAGTTCAAAGGACCGACTGAGTGGGTGGGGAGCTATTATTCATGAGCTCTTTGAAACACCTATGTCAAGGAACTTGGATGCAGTGAGTAGTGTTGCAGTAAAATCATCATGTACATTTGGTGATACACAAAGCAACTCAAACATTGCAATTGCATAATTTTTTTTATACATCTCCCATTTGGCATGTTTCTTGCGATGTGGTTCACAGAAGCACTGACGTATGTGTTGACTTGACAACTGCGTCAGAGTTTTGAACTACCCTTCCCTCCCTTTTGTTCCAAGTTGGCTGAAGACTAGCAAACACAGTAACTAGCAAACACCAAACACAGATGAAACGGGAAACATATAAGTATCTTTGCCATAGATGAACAGGGTAAACTTTTATTTTGCTGACACCCTACAGTCAAATTTTGACACCAGTAGAGTAGCTATAGAGCTATATAAACCACTCCCCTCTGCAAAGACGCTTTCTCTGATGTTGGTTACAAGGTGTTTGACATAGGGGAGGGGACCAGTAACTTTTACATCAAACTTTATCAATGTAGAAGCAACAGTCATTTTCCATACTTTGTTCATCATACTTGATGATAAAGCGATTGTGGGGGCTGTTTTGTTAGACTTCAGTGTGGCTTTGACATTATCGATCATAGTCTGTTGCTGGAAAAACGTATGTGTTATGGCTTTACACCCTCTGCTATATTGTGGATAAAAGACTTACCTGTCTAACAGAACACAGAGGCTGTTCTTTAATGGAAGCCTCTCCAACAAAATCCAAGTAGAATCAGGAATTCCCCAGGGTAGCTGTCTAGGCCCCTTACTTTTTTCAATCTTTACTAACGACATGCCACTGTCTATGTATGCGGATGACTCAACACTATACATGTCAGCTCCCACAGCAACAGAAATGACTGCAACACTTAACAAAGAGCTGCAATTAGTTTCAGAATGGGTGGCAAGGAATAAGTTAGTCCTAAATATTTCAAAAACTAAAAGCATTGTTTTTGGGACAAATCATTCACTAAACCCTAAACCTCAACTAAATCTTGTAATGAATAATGTGGTAATTGAGCAAGTTGAGGAGACTAAACTCCTAGGAGTAACCCTGGATTGTAAACTGTCATGGTCAAAACATATTGATACAACAGTAGCTAGGATGGGGAGAAGTCTGTCCATAATAAAGCTCTGTTCAGCATTCTTAACAGCATTATCAACAAGGAAGGTCCTACAGGCCCTAGTTTTGTCACACCTGGACTACTGTTCAGTCGTGTGGTCAGGTGTCACAAAGAGGGTCTTAAGAAAATTGCAACTGGCACAGAACAGGACAGCACGGCTGGCCCTCAGATGTACACAGAGAGCTAACATGAATAATATGCATGTCAATCTCTCCTGGCTCAAAGTGGAGGAGAGATTGACTTCATCACTACTTGTATTTGTGAGAAGTATTGACATGTTGAGTGCACCGAGCTGTCTGTTTGAACTACTGGCACACAGCTCGAACACCCATGCATACCCCACAAGACATGCCACCAGAGGTCTCTTCACAGTCCCCAAGTCCAGAACAGACTATGGGAGGCGCACAGTACTACATAGAGCCATGACTACATGGAACTCTATTCCACATCAAGTAACCCATGCAAGCAGTAAAATTAGATTTAAAAAACAGATAAAAATACACCTTATGGAACAGCAGGGACTGTGAAGCAACACAAACATAGGCACAGACACATGCATGCAAACACACGATAACATACGCACTATACACATTCGTACACATGGATTTTGGGTTGTAGATATTTGGTAGTAGAGTAGGGGCCTGAGGGCACACACTTAATATGTTGTGAAATCTGTTGTAAATGTATTTCATGTTTTTAAAAAATGTATAACTGCCTTAATTTTGCTGGACCCCAGGAAGAGTAGCCTTGGCAGCAGCTAATGGGGATCCATAATAAATACAAATACAAATAAATACAAATACTTTGATCTGGTTTCATCCAAATGTCATCATATTTCATGAAAAACATGATTTTGACTGTTCAGAAAAGTAACAGAATTTAAGAAAAGTAACCAAATTAGCAGCAAGGACATCCCTCTCAACCAATATGTTTTTGTTGTTGTTGTGTTTTGCAGGGCTCCTTGGGCCCACCATCCGTGGTCAAGAGGGAGAGACCATCGTGGTCATGTTCAAGAACATGGCGGATAGCCCTTACAGCCTCCACGCCCACGGGATCGCTTACGGGAAGCAGTCAGAGGGTGGGTACCAACCAATGATGTCATCTGTATTAACTGGCCTATCAGAGCTCAGTGGTGGCTACTTTTAAATTGGGATTTATTTGACAGGTATTCCCACTAAATGTTCTCTTCCAGAATTCTACAGATATCATTTATTAAAATCTGTCGGAAATGTCCAACAACTTACAGGGTTAGCCATGGTTGGTGTCATCATGGCTGTGGTAGCTATGTGGTAACAGTGAGGTATCCTATCCCAGACAGATTCACCCATCCTGTGGCCTAGACAGCCATTGATGTGGTTGGAAAAGGGGACTTGGATGTTATTCATTCAGTTAAGTACACATGTTAGGCAGTTAAGTACACATGTTAGGCAACACAAGCAGCTGTGTTTGGCCTTTTCATTAATATTAACCAGGACAGACAGATTAACATACCAGACAGTACTAAAGTCCAAAAGGATACTCTCTAAAACCTGTGGAAATCCATGATTTCCCCTAATACAGCTTTGGGGGGGTTGAGAGATGAGTTTTGTAAGTGCACAGGATGTAGAATTATTACTCTTTAATTAATGCTTAACTCAAAATTAATTGTGACATTGCAAGGTTATGTAATATTGTAACAAGATGGCAGTAAATAGACCTCTTAAATTCCCCAGATTTTCCCTGATTCTACTATTTTTTATTAAGATGGTTTGCATATTTTGGAGATCAGTCATTTGTTAAATGTTAACTGGGGTCACTGTAAATTGTAAATGTATTTAGAGTATATGTGCATCAGGCCAGGTGACCAAGTTTTAACCTTGTACAACATCAAGACAAATTCTGATCATTGAATGGCAATAAAGTTATTTCTCTTTCTGCTTTATTTCATTATTATGAACCAAACATGTCTCCCTTTAGGCTCCCTGTACTTTGACAACACGTCTCAGTTTGAGAAGGAAGATGATGCGGTGCCCCCTGGAGGTGAACACACATACTACTGGGAGGTGACATCAGACGTGGTCCCCCGGGCCGCAGACCCCTCCTGTCTTACCTACACCTACCTCTCCCACTTTGACATTGTCCAGGATTACAACTCAGGACTGATCGGCACCCTGCTCATCTGTAAAGCAGGTATGTAAATGTTAATGTAAAATGTATGAGACATATTCCTGATTTTTTTTGCTTCAAGTACCAAAACATCCATGTCAGTAAGTAACCAGAAAGAAATCAACTGAACTACCCTTTGTACCTCCCTCCAGGTAGCCTTGACGTGTCTGGAGAACAGGTGTTGTTCCACCAGGAATACGTCTTCCTCATGGGGGTGTTGGATGAGAGTAGGAGCAGGTACAAGCCAAAGATGGACAGTGCCACTGCCACTCAAAGCCACATCAAACACACCATCAATGGATACACCAATGGATCAGTGCCAGGTCAGTCAATCAGATCTCATCATTCTGAGTTCTGCTGATATCTGCAGATAAGGGTTGTTGTGCTTTAAGTAGTTTAGGTTGTCTGCTTTAGTTGTTCCATCCCAGCTGGTTATTTGTTGGAACTATTGCTTCCACCTAATCCTTACTCAGATTCTATAGTTATAGGGCGTGTAGAGGGCTCATTCCTGGTATTTCAAAGTCTGTCCCCCTCCCCCTCCCCGTCTTCTCTCCATCTCCTCCTCCTGTCTCTCCCTTCCCCCCAGGTCTGACTGTCTGCGCCCACACCTCTGTCAGCCTGCACCTGGTGGGGATGAGTTCGGAGCCTGAGCTGTTCTCAGTGCACATCAACGGGCAGGTCCTGCAGCAGGCCGGACATCGGGTCTCCTCAGTGGGCCTGATCGCTGGCACCGCCACCAGCGCCAACATGACCGCCGTCAACACGGGCCGCTGGCTCCTCTCCTCACACACCAGCAAGCACCTGGAGGGTACGTGTCAATGGCTTTACGTCAAAGGGTGCCAAAACAGTTATTCGGCTGTCCCAATAGAATAACCCTTTTTGGTTCCAGGTAGAACTCCCTTGGGTTCCATGTAGAACGCTCTGTGGAAAGGATTTTACATAGAACCGAAAAGAGTTCTACCTGGAACCAAAAAAATGTTATTTAAAGGGTTCTCCTTTGGGGACATCCGAAGAACCGTTTTAGGTTCTAGATAGCACATTTTCTTCTAAGAGTGTAGCTAGTATTATATTTGGTTATGGGTTCTGAGAATGTGTATGGTGTGAGATTTACTGTGATGGACCGCAGAGCAGATTTAAGTTTATTCAGATGTATTGTAGTGTATTGACATTTTCAAATGCACTTTGAATCAAGTTTGATTGATTGAATGTTTAATGTTCTATTCCCAACATGTTAAATCAACATGACCCTCCTGAACAAACGAACTTCTCTGCTGTTGTAGCTGGTATGCATGGCTTTGTGGAAGTGAGGAGCTGCGAGGGCTTTAACCCTCCCAAACGTAAACTGACCCTCAAGCAGAAACGAGAGAGCCAGGAGTGGACCTATTATATCGCAGCTGAGGAGGTTGTCTGGGACTACGCACCAAACATGCCAGAATACATTGATGGGTAAACAGCTATACAGATATTTATTGACTTACTCATTTCACTTCACTTTAGCCCACAATTATTTATCTATCTAAACTTAATTCAGCCAATTTAGAATTGGGAACAAATTCAGCCTTATACAGTAACAGATAATACCACCGTTGTATTTGTGACATGCTCGCCACTTTGACATTCTCCATTAATCTGTTGACTAGTCTCAGTGTGACCTGACTTGCTGTGACATCACATCCTCTTCTCTTACTGTTCCTCTCAGGGACTTCAAGTTCAAGTACCTGAAGCAAAGCCCGGAGCGTATAGGCCAGAAGTATAAGAAGGCAGTGTACACGCAGTACAAAAATGCCAGGTTCACTGAGAGGGCAGAGAACAAACAGAGGAAGATGGAGGAGGGCATCATTGGCCCTGTCATCAGGGCGCAGATCAATGATGTCATTAAGGTGAGACACAAATGTTCTATTTTCATATGCCCACTTTTTTCATGTGCCCAATTCTTAAGTTGTGTAAGATGTGTATTCTACCTTCTTCTCCATGTATGAACACTACACTGTGTGTCCACAAGTGTCTTTTGCCAGTGCCCTCTCAAGCATCTTTTCCCCACATTCACAGATTGTCTTTAAGAACATGGCCACACGACCGTACAGCATCTACCCACACGGACTGACCATCGACAAGGCAGCAGAGGGGGCCAACTACCCAGCAGGAGGTAACCAGACCCATGGGGTTCAGCCTGGTGAGACGCATATCTATGTGTGGGAGGTGATCGAGGAGAATGAACCTTTGGCAGGCGACTCGCAATGCCTGACACGTATGTACCACAGTGCAGTGAACACACCCCGAGACATCGCCTCAGGCCTAGTAGGACCTCTGCTCATCTGCAAGAGCCAGTCCCTCGACAAGAGGAATGTGCAGGTACTACACTGATACTACTTCTACTCAATTACTAATACATTACTTCTAAGGACCATGCAGGTACTATACTATACTACTGCTACTTCATTACTACTACTGCACTACTAGAACATTTTACTTCTACTACATATGTACTGGAACTGGCCTCTCTTCTCTACTAATTTAATTCAATGTACTTTTACAGATTTTGATGTACAGTGTTAAATGAAGCTTTGTCTCTGCAGCTGAAATCAGACAAAGAACAGCATGCCATGTTTGCTGTTTTTGACGAGAATAAGAGCTGGTATCTAGATGACAACATTGCATCGTACAGTGAAACAGCAAAGGTCAAGAAAGAAGACCCAGACTTCTATAAATCAAACATTATGCATAGTGAGTATCACTCCCCTTCACCAATAAAATTCATACGTTAGAGACAGCAATGGTCTGGTACAGCCAGAAGAGTATTGAAATTGAAAAAACTGATCATATACTAAATCTTTCCTCCTATCTGGAATGCACTCCACATAGAAGATTCACATTCATAAAAATCAACTGCCTATAACTGTCAAAAACTGTGCTTCATATACAGAATAATAATTTTCTCAAATTTGACCACTTCCTTTATTGACTTAAATGGTACCATTTCCTCCCCCAGCGATTAACGGTTACGTGTTCGAGAGTGGTCAGCTGCTGGGCTTCTGCAATGGTGAGATCGTGACATGGCACGTGTCCAGTGTTGGAGTGCAGGACTACATCCAGACTGCAACCTTCTACGGTCACACTTTCGACTTGAACGATCACACTGAGGACTTCCTCAGCCTGTTCCCCATGACTGGAGAGACCATCACCATGAACATGGATAACATTGGTGAGTCAGCGGTTAATGGGTTAACTGACCATACACTCAACTCCCAAACCTCTAACCTCTAACCCTTGATTCTACAAGATACAATAGATAGGTTAGTGGTGAAAATTGCATTGCAAGCACAATACAGGATGAAGATGATGTATTGTGTATCTTTTTGTTAGGATTCAAAGACTAAATGTGGTCTGTTCCTATGTTAGGTATTTGGCTGCTTGCTTCCCTGAACTCCCATGAGACCACCAAGGGGATGCGTGTGAAGTTCAGAGACGTGGAGTGCTACCGAGACTACGTCTATGAATACGAAGACGAGACGGGGATGGAGACGGAGACAGAGACGGGCAGAGACGGGACGAAGGGCAGTGCTGTCTTCTCCATCTGGAAACCCATGGATATCAACAAGGCCAAAGAGGAGGATAAGAAGGATGAGGTGATAGAGAAAAAGAAAAAGGTGGAGATTGACGATTATACAGCGGGCTGGGCTGATTTGCTGGATCTTAGGTCAATCAAGAAAAAGACAAATGAGACGGACGTGGAGATGTTGGATTTCTCTATGTTCAACTACGATAGCGTTGATGTGCCCGATCCCGATGGAGACGCGAACGCAAACCCCACCTCATCCTCTTATGATGCACCGACTAACACATCATTGGCTGAGAGGGAGCCGATTGATGGAGGCAACTTTACGAACAAGAGCATCATTGAGAATGCAACAGAAGCGCTGAACTTTACTACAGATCAGTTAGACTCAAGTCTTAACAGCTCCTCAATGGCTGAGACAGAAGCAAAGAACATAACAGTTCTTAACAACAGTTTATCAATTACAGACTTCAACATCATTTCAGGAAGTACCAATAGTACAGCAGTTACAGCAACCGAAGCCTCACCAGGTCCGTTCAACAATAGCTCAAAGGCTGAGAGAGAGAGAGTGATACAAATCAGAGGTGATTGGACCACTGTGAATAGCACCTCAAACGTTGAAGCATTAGTGGAAGAGTTAGAGGAAAGGATTACTCGAGGCGATGTCTTCTCTTACTCTGTGCCTCTTTCCGACCCCTCTTTCATCAGTACAGAAGAGAACAGGGGGACTGATGGCAAGGATATTGTACTCCTGGGCAGAGAGCCTACAACTGCTTCAGCCAATGAAAACGGTAAAGCTTCAAATTCATCTCTAAATATAACCAACCAATCGGAGAGTGTGATGAGTGCTGAAGTTGCAGAGTTAATTTTTATCCTAGTGGAAGAACACAACATGACCAACTTTGACTTTGAAACTGAGGAAAGTGGTAACATAACTGTGAACGGTTCATTGCACACCAACACCACCACTGAGCAAGGAAATGGTACCTATTTCTTTGAAGCCACTTCTACAACTGACAACTCCAGCAGTGGGGTGCCACAAAATGGCAAACAACCATCAGACATTGAAACATTCTCTGACATAGTGCCCAAACAAAATGGTACAGCAAACACTTCTGGTTTGAACCACTGGAATTCATCAGAGGAGACTAGTTCTGAGAGTAAAAAGAACGTTACTGTGCCAGATGTCGTGGTAGAGTTGTCCTCAGAAAGCTCAGAATTCTCTAATGAGACTACTGATGCTAATCCTGGTGCGGCCAACCTGTCACTGTCAACCAATCAGCAGCCAGACAGCAGCTTGGAGGAGATTCTATCCCAGAGTTCCGAGAGCTCTAAGGAGGAAGTGGTAATCTACCTGAGAAACAACAGGAGTGAGTTCATCCGCACCATCTCCGTTGACCTGCAGGGGGAGCACTGGGGCTATGAGGGGACACTCGAGATGGTCCCCATGGAGATGCCAGATCACATTACGAAATATGTTGGAAACGAGCTCCTAGATCCGCCAAATACATTGGAACCAAGCCCAAATCCGGAAACGCGGAAACCCAACATCAAGGTCGTCCACCGCAGACAAAGACCCCGTAAGGGCTATGCCATGAAAACCAAGAAGAAGAAGGAGTACAAGCCCCAGCGTCCAAGAGGCCGCAGTTTCTCCCCCAGGGGGTTCAAACCCCCTCCCATCACCGGTATAACCCCCAGAGGGACCCGACCCATTTCCAGCGAGGAGGACTTCTCAAACAAAGCCATTGTGATCGGCGTGCCACGACCCGACTTCAGCGACTATGAGATTTATGTCCTGAATGAGGGCGGTGATGACCCGGATGACGTCCTAGACATGGCAGCGGTTAGTGCTGCAGAGGAGTATGAGTACGTCGACTACATTGACCCATACAAAGAGAAGGAGGACATGCAGGACCTAACTCTGGATGAGAATGCAAAATATTTCCTAAAAATGGCGGGAGATAACGTGAGGACATACTTTATTACCGCAGAGGAGGTGCAGTGGGACTACGGGGGCTACGGACAAAGGTAAGGACAAAATAGGGGATAGGGCTGAGGTCAGGGATGTATTGGGCAAATGTAATGTCTCTTGTTTATTGTTCTATGTGCTCAAATTAGAATTTTCTGACTGGAATTATACATACCTTCTTTTTTGTTCAATAAAACCTTTGTCTTTCGTCTCTCCCACAACAGGAGGCATGATAAGCCAGAGAAAACCGACAGGCCTACAAGATTCTCCAAGGTAGTGTTCCGAGGTTACCTGGACAGCACGTTTAGCACGCCGGACATCCGAGGAGAGATGGACGAACACCTGGGCATCCTGGGGCCAGTCATCAAGGCAGAGGTTGGACAGACCATAATGGTAAGACAGGAAACCCTGAGGGCAGAAAACCTAACTACCTTTTGCTAACTTTTGCATGAATCTACTGTAGGTGAGTTGTGCCCATGATCATGAATAATGGACCATCTAATCAAACTGATGTTACTGGTCTGTAGGTATGAAGGTATTTTTCAGGAAATTAAATGTGTGTCCTTGGTCTGTAGGTATTTTTCAGGAACCTGGCCAGCCGCCCGTACTCCTTGCACGCCAATGGGGTTTCCTACACCAAGCAGACAGAGGGGTTGTCCTACGAGGACGAGTCCAAGCACTGGTACAAGTATGACAACGAGGTCCAGCCCAACACAACATACACGTACCTCTGGAAGGTCAACGCCAATGTCGGGCCCACCGGAGACGAGTCTGACTGTCGCACCTGGGCCTACTACTCTGGGGTTAACCCTGTGAGTAAACACTTACCTTCTCAAATCAAATCAAATTTTATTGGCCACATGCGCCGAAACAACAGGTGCAGACATTACAGTGAAATGCTTACTTACAGCCCTTAACCAACAGTGCATTTATTTTTAATAAAACAGTAAAATAAAACAACAACAAAAAAGTGTTGAGAAAAAAAAGAGCAGAAGTAAAATACAATTACAGTAGGGAGGTTATATATACAGGGGGGTACCGGTGCAGTCAATGTGCGGGGGCACCGGCTAGTTGAGGTAGTTGAAGTAATATGTACTGTTCTGATGGTTTAGTTAACATAGCTGATACAACATCACTATTTTCTATGTATAGTCCCTTTTGTGCTTCTAAGATATTTCATGTGACAACTCTGTGTTGACATGTGATGTCTTGTCCTCTGAGGTACCTCCTACACTAACCTGGTGTGTCCTTGTGATCTGTTGAGAGATATTCCAATAATCTAGTGTTTGATTGTTTGTTATTGCTCATCTCATTCAGGAGAAAGATATAAACTCTGGTCTGATTGGGCCATTGCTGGTGTGTCGTAAGGGCACTCTTAGCAGGAAGGCAGTGGACATGAGGGAGTTCATGCTCCTCTTCATGACCTTCGATGAGTCCAAGAGCTGGTACTACGAGAAGAACCATGAGATAGTGCAGAGGAAGAACAAACGAGCCAGGGTGATGGAACCTGACTTCAGAGATAACCTCAAATTCAGCGGTAGGCACCTTCTAATCTAACAAAAATGTGACTAAATGATAGGTGATGGTAGGATAACTGACTAGTGGGTCATGGCTGGTCCCTCCTGGATCAAGTCTTGATTTTAGATTTTTTGTTGTAAAATCAAGGTATGAGTAATGAACAACAGAGACAAAATAACAAAACAGAGATTGTGTAATCATACATTTCTTGTGGGGTTGTGTGTATGTGTGGGGGGGGGGGCAGCCATCAACGGAATCATCTTCAGTCTGAAGGGTCTGAGGATGTACACTAACCAGACGGTCCGCTGGCACCTCTTCAACATGGGCTCTCCCAGAGACCTCCACAGTGTCCACTTCCACGGCCAGACCTTCCTCCACAAACAGACCAGGGACCACACCCAGGCTGTCTACCCACTGCTGCCTGGTGAGAATTTTACTGAATGGATGGATGGATGGTTTACATGTTTTGTCACATTTATGTGACCCATCCCTACTGTTGGGGCAAAATGGTTCTAATGCTATGTAAATGCTTGAGTTTAAAAGTATTATATGTACTGTATGTATTTGAGTGGAAAAACACTGTTGTTTAACTTAGTCACGTAGGCTGTGAGAACTGATTAGAACCTGTTCTTGTTTGTACAATGCTTTAAAGAAGTGGAGCCAAGTCGGCTCTCTCTATCTCTCGTATAAACTTGCCTCCCCATAGGAGAGGCAAGCAGCTTTTTGTATAGAAGAAGTATATAATGACAGTGTGACTGTATCCTTTGAGTTCCTCTCCGGTTTATCCTGAGTGTGATCCTTGCAATTGCTTGAATAAACTCTTATTAACTGGATAATGACCCCTACCTGATCATTGGAAAGAGTTTTCCTCAACACTACTAATCTGCTCTGGTTTTGTTTCCCAGGGGGCTTTGCGACTCTGGAGATGTTGCCGTCCAAGCCTGGGCTGTGGCAGCTGGAGTCAGAGGTTGGACTCTCCCAACAGAGGGGGATGCAGACCCTCTTCCTGGTTCTAGATAATAGTACGACCCACTCAAAAGCACTTATGCTTATGGTACCACTTTCTCAATGCCACATGTTACATCAAAGGTGTGATGTCCATCTCAACTCCTAGAGAGTCATTTTTACTGCTAGTGTCAATGCTTTTTGAGTGAATTGATTCAAGCCAAGTCATATCAATAGTCATTATCCCAAAGAATCAATCCCATAATAAAATCTATTTTTGTGTGTTTTCCAGAGTGTTACCATCCACTGGGTCTAATTTCTGGGAGCGTCAAAGACAACCAGATCACAGCGAACGACAAAAGAGGTATCCCTCCACTCAGTATCCCTCTGTCCCGCATACCTCCACTCTGTATCCCTCCACCCACCAGATGTTGACTGTAAGTCGCTTTGGATAAAAGCGTCTGCTAAATGGCATATTAATTAATTATTAATTAATCAGAAATAATACTGCCAACTGACATTTGATTATTGACTTTAACTAGCTTCCCAAACTAGATGTCCTTCCGCAATGCTTTTACTTTTACTGCTGAAAAGCAACATCCCAAGTATAAATACAGGAAAGTACACACACTAAAGGATAAAAAAATGTTTTGAACAAAATAGTGTTTTTTAGACACAACTGCAAACTTCAAGGAGTTGGTCTGACGTCAATCCGTGATGTCATCGGCCTTCCCCCTTGCTTGAGGAACAATAGATAACAAAAGAGGAATTGCCCACTATGCTATGCCATGACATACCTGGACCACCTATTGAGATCTGCCTTTTGTTAAGTAAATCAGGTGTTAACCTTTTACTGCAGTGGGCTAAATCAGGGTCATACTTAGTAGTCTTAAACAAATCTACTTTGAAACAAAAGTGAACATCTCACACACATGGTTATGGGCTTAAAAAGAAGAAGATGTCAAATATGGAGTTGAAATGCATAACATTTTGAGTTTGCATCCCAATATTACACTTGATATACATCACATAAGACTGAAATGTAACAAAACCGTTTGAAACAGAAACACCAGATTTTCTGCGTTTTATTTTATTTTATGTTTATTAATGATGAAATTATGAAAAATATTAATAACATTCCACCCATGAGGCCACTAGGTCATTTGACTGCAGGAAAGGGCTACGTGAGGTGAAAAGGAGACTGGAGTGCCACTTTAACAGTTGCAGTGTTTTACCCAGAGGATGCTGGTTGGAGGAGCTATAGGAGGATGGACTCATTGTAATGGCTGGAATGGAATAAATGGAATGGTATCAAAAACATAAAACATATGGAAACCACATGTTTGACTCTGTTCCATTCATTCAATTCCAGACATTACAATGAGCCTATCCTCCTATAGCTCCTCCCACCAGCATCCTCTGGTTTCACTCTCTAACTAACTTATTTCTCCTTATGCAGGCTACTGGGAGCCCCATCTGGCCAGACTGAACAACCAAGGCAAATACAATGCATGGAGTACAGACAAGACAGGCAGCTGGATACAGGTACATAACCTCACCTGCCAGGGAATACATGTGGTGTCTGCAATATTATGTAGCTGGTGAGCAGTGAGAATGTATTCCTCAAAGTTGCCTACAGGTGGGAGCATAATCATATCATTACAGCGTCTTTGTGGGGATGCCCTCTGTTGATGGCGTCGGAGAAATGGCGCCGGAGAGGATGGCTGCCGTTTTACAGCCCTCTAACCAATTGTACTATTATGTGTGTTTTTTCGCGTTATTTGTAATTTATTCTGTACATAATGTTTCTGCCATCGTCTCTTATAACCAAAAAGAGCTTCTGGATATCAGGACAGCGATTACTCACCTCGTATTGGACGAAGATTTTTTCTTCAACGAGTCGGACGCGAAGGATATCCTACAGACACCCGACAAGGCCCAAATCCCCGTCATTCACAGGAGAAAGATACGGAGATATCGTGGACGTAGGTCAGGGTGCCTTGTAAGGATCCGACGGCGAGCGAGTAAACTGCCTCTTCCATCAATCCTATTAGCCAATGTTCAATCATTTGAAAATAAATTAGATGACCTAAGATCACGGTTATCTTACCAACGGGACATTAAAAACTGTTATATCTTATGTTTCACCGAGTTGTGGCTGAACGACAACATGGACAACATACAGCTGACGGGATATACGCTACATTGGCAGGATAGAACGGCTGACTCCGGTAAGACAAGGGGTGGGGTCTGTGTATATTTGTAAACAACAGCTGTTGCACAAAATCAAATACTAAGGAAGTCTCGAGGTTTTGCTCGCCTGAGGTAGAGTATCTGTAAGCTGTAGACCACACTATTTACCAAGAGAGTTTTCATCTATATTTTTCATAGCTGTCTATTTACCACCACAAACCAATGCTGTCATTAAGATTGCAGTCAATGAGCTGTATAAGGCCATAAGTATATAGGAAAACGCTCATCCAGATGCAGCGCTCCTAGTGGCCGGGGACTTTAATGCAGGGAAACTTAAATCCGTTCTACCTAATTTCTACCAGTATGTTAAATGTGCAACCAGAGGAAAAAAAACTCTAGACCACCTTTGCTCCACACACAGAGACGCATACAAAGCTCTCCCTCGCCCTCCATTTGGCAAATCTGACCATAACTCTATCGTCCTGATTCCTGATTATAAGCAAAAACTAAAGCAGGAAGCACCAGTGACTCGGTTAATAAAAAAGTGGTCAGATGATGCAGATGCTAAGCTACAGGACTGTTTTGCTAGCACAGACTGGAACATGTTCTGGGATTCTTCAGATAGCATTGAGGAGTACACCACATCAGTCAATGGCTTCATCAATAAGTGCATCGATGACATCGTCCCCACAGTGACAGGACGTACATACCCCAACCAGAAGCCATGGATTACAGGCAACAGCCGCACTGAGCTAAAGGGGTATAGCTGCCGCTTTCAAGGAGCGGGACTCTGACCCGGACGCTTATAAGAAATCTCGCTATGCCCTCCGACGAACCATCAAACAGGCAAAGAGTCAATACAGGACTAAGATTGAATCGTACTACACCGGCTCTGACGCTCGTCGGATGTGGCAGGGCTTTAAAACTATTACAGACTACAAAGGGAAGCACAGCCGTGAGCTGCCCAGTGACACAAGCCTACCAGACAAGCTAAACCACTTCTATGCTCGCTTCGAGGCAAGCAACACTGAAGCATGCATGAGAGCACCAGCTGTTCCGGATGACTATGTGATCACGCTCCCCGTAGCCAATGTGAGTAAGACTTTTAAGCAGGTCAACATTCACAAGGCCGCAGGGCCAGACGGATTACCAGGACGTGTACATGTGCTGACCAACTGGCAAGTGTCTTCACTGACATTTTCAACATGTCCCTGACTGAGTCTGTAATACCAACATGTTTCAAGCAGACCACCATAGTCCCCGTGCCCAAGGACACTAAGATAACCAGCCTAAATGACTACCGACCCGTAGCACTGACGTCTGTATCCATGAAGTGCTTTGAAAGGCTGGTCATAGCTCACGTCAACATCATTATCCCAGAAACCCTAGATCCACTCCAATTTGCATACCACCCCAACAGATCCACAGATGATGCAATCTCTATTGCACTCCACACTGCCCTTTCCCACCTGGACAAGAGTGACACCTACGTGAGAATGCTATTCATTGACTACAGCTCAGCGTTCAACACCATAGTGCCCTCAAAGCTCATCACTAAGCTAAGGATCCTGGGACTAAACACCTCCCTCTGCAACTGGATCCTGGACTTCCTGACGGGCCGCCCCCAGGTGGTAAGGGTAGGTAACAACACATCTGCCACGCTGATCCTCAACACGGGGGCCCCTCAGGGGTGTGTGCTCAGTCCCCTCCTGTACTCCCTGTTCACCCATGACTGCATGGCCAGGCACGACTCCAACACCATCATTAAGTTTGCCGACGACACAACAGTGGTAGGCCTGATCACCGACAACGATGAGACAGCCTATAGGGAGGAGGTCAGAGACCTGGCCGTGTGGTGCCAGGATAACAATCTCTCCCTCAACGTGATCAAGACAAAGGAGATGATTGTGGACTACAGGAAAAAAAAAGAGGACTGAGCACGCCCCCATTCTCATCGACGGGGCTGTAGTGGAACAGGTTGAGAGCTTCAAGTTCCTTGGTGTCCACATCACCAACAAACTATCATGGTCCAAACACACCAAGACAGTCGTAAAGAGGGCACGACAAAGCCTATTCCCCCTCAGGAGACTGAAAAGATTTGGCATGGGTCCTCAGATCCTCAAAACGTTATACAGCTGCACCATCGAGAGCATCCTGACTGGTTGCATCACCACCTGGTATGGCAACTGCTCGGCCTCCGACCGCAAGGTACTACAGAGGGTAGTGCGTACGGCCCAGTACATCACTGGGGTCAAGCTTCCTGCCATCCAGGACCTCTATACCAGGCGGTGTCAGAGGATGGCCCTCAAAAGTGTCAAAGACTCCAGCCACCCTAGCTTCTCAACAGCTTCTGCCCCCAAGCCATAAGACAACTGAACAGCTAATCATTGCTACCCGGACTATTTGCACTGCCCCCCCCCACCCCCACCCCACCTTTTTACGCTGCTGCTACTCTGTTAATTATTTATGCATAGTCACTTTAACTCTACCCACATGTACATATTACCTCAACTAACCGGTACCCCCCTGTATATAGCCTCCCTACTGTTCTTTTATTTTACTTCTGCTCTTTTTTTCTCAACACTTTTTTGTTGTTGTTGTTTTATTTTACTTTTTTATTAAAAAATAAATGCATTGTTGGTTAAGGGCTGTAAGTAAGGATTTCACGGTAATGTCTACACCTGTTGTATTTGGCGCATGTGGCAAATAACATTTGATTAGATTAGATTTGATGTGGGGTCACATGAGTGTCATGCCTTGGGCCCTGAGTATTTCCTGACCCTGTAAACCTGATAGGCGAGGTTTATGTGTCTCAACTTATGCCTGGGTGGTGATACCCATTTGGTGACACCTGTAGTGATGCCTACTGTGACAATTGACCTGTAGGTAGACTTCCAGAGGCCCGTGGTGATCAGTCAGGTAGCGACACAAGGCGCCAAACAGATGTTCTCCTCCCACTACATGGTCAACTACACCATATCCTACAGCACGGACAAGAAGAAGTGGATCTACTACAAGGGAGACAGCAACGAGTTTAGGATGGTGAGGAGTACACCTATAGAACAGCAGGGTTGGAGAGCAATGGAATACATGTAACGGGATTATGTATTTTCATTCTAACATTGCTGTTATTATAGTTATATGTATTGCGTTATATTTACATTTTCAAAAATCAGAGATACTTCTGGTAATATTAAATTATACTTTTGATAGATACTTTCAAATGTGTTCATTGCTATGACTGCTAAATATACAGAGAAACAGTACATATGACTATAAATGTATTTAATCCAAATGTTGTTCTTCCATTCTCCAGACGTTCACCGGTAACAAGGAAGCTCATCAGGTGAAGGTCAACACCTTCTTCCCTCCCCTGATTGGTCGGTTTATCAGACTTCACCCTCTCCACTCGTACAACTCGCCCATGGTCCGCATGGAGTACTATGGCTGTGAGCTGGACGGTGAGCGATGATGATGATGTTGTAGTCTCCCGAGAGGCGCAGTGGTCTAAGGCACTGCATCGCAGTGCTAGCTGTGCCACTAGAGATCCTGGTTTGAATCCAGGCTCTGTCGTACCCGGCCGCGACCGGGAGACCCATGGGGCGGTGCACAATTGGCCCAGGGTAGGGGAGGGAATGGCCGGCAGGGATGTAGCTCAGTTGGTAGAGCATGGCGTTTGCAACGCCAGGGTTGTGGGTTCGATTCCCACGGGGGGCCAGTATGAAATTAAAAAATATATATAATAATAATAATGTATGCACTCACTAACTGTAAATCGCTCTGGATAAGAGCGCCTGCTAAATGACGTAAATGTAAAATGTAAATGTTGTTGATAATGATGATGGGTAGCATTCCTACTGTTTAATGTATGATAGCATCCAAGCCTATGTTTGAGCACAAATATTTTCCAATAAACTTACAATAAAGTGAATGTAATCTAATTCCCTCCATCAGGTTGCTCAGTGCCCCTGGGTATGGAGAGCAGGCGGATAGAGGACCATCGTATCACTGCCAGCTCTACAGCCTCCAGCTGGTACTCTGGTTCCTGGCAAGCGTCACTGGCACGACTCAACACACAGGGCACCATCAACGCATGGCAGGCCAAGGTACGATAACACACACAGATCCACGTAGGCACATGTGCACACACACATATGGACAAACTAATGTGGGCACACTCACCATTCCAGGTCAGTCATCCCTCTGTCCCCCCCTGTCCCTCCCCAGAATAACAACATGAACCAGTGGCTGCAGGTGGAGCTGGCCCAGGTAAAGAAGATCACAGGTATCATAACGCAGGGGGCCAAGTCCCTGAGCAAGGAGATGTACGTCATCTCCTACACTCTGGAGTACAGCGATGATGGACTATACTGGATCAAGTACACTGATTTTGATGACAACGTGTCAAAGGTAGGATTGTCAGGCAAAAGGGTTATGCGATGGTATTAAGAGTTGGTATAGAGGGTTATTTTACAGTCCTGCTGTTAATTCTTTATCCAAGCTATGTTATTGCTAATAAGTATTAATCTGATATTATTATTACATGAAGATTTCAAAATACTGACTGTCTTCCACTCACCCAGCAGAATTTCCCCGGCAACACGGATAACAACGGCCATGTGAAGAACTACATCTATCCTCCCATCTTCTCTCGTTTTATCAGAGTCATCCCTCAGAGCTGGAAGAACTCCATCACTCTCAGGATAGAACTGCTGGGTTGTGACTTTGAATGAGGGACACACACATCCAAGATGCAAGAATCTTGGGTGTGTGTGCAAGAATCAAATTTCTACTTTCACGCACATCCAAATGTCAGGTGCGTGCAGTAACCCAAACTATCACATAAATTATGAATTGATGTCAAAGGGAAATTTGAGGGAAATTTGAGTTATGTGCACATTTCTCAGATTGGGATTCAGCGCTTCGCTCATATAGGATAAAGACAATAATACTGCTTTATACATGAGAAAGTTGCATAAAGCTCAGCAGATAGTAAAATACATATTGCAGTATGTCATCTTTATACTTTGTATTTTGTATCATAATTGAACATGAATGTAATGTAAATAATGTAAGTAGTACTCAGAGTATTTAATTAGTTTTTGCCAATAAAAAAATATATTGTTGCTCATATTTTGTCAGTCACTGTGCCTCATTCTAGGATTGTGGCACGTTGTATGAAACTGTGGAAGCATAAAACATACAGTACCTCCTATATAACAAACATACTTATTCCAATGCTTCTACCATGCTGTCATTTGGTCAAATTCTGAATTGACCCCAACCCTGAGTGAGTGAGCAGACAGAGAGAAAAGACCCCCTGTCATTGTAGGTGTGTGAACAGGAGAGATGTCCCAGCCCGTGGGGTGAAGGTGTCACCTTTTGCACCTCTGATAATCCCCTCTGTGGATCCCCTCGGAGCCCCAGAGTCAACAGCCAAGTGCAACTGCAAAAACAGTCCCTGTTTGTCCATTTGCCTGCCTGCTAAAAGAGACTCCAGAGCTGTGAAAGTCTCAGCAATAGCTGGGTCTTCAAAAGAACCAGACAGGAGAGAGCTTTGAAACTGTCAAAATCAAATCAAATTTTATTCGTCACATGCTTCATAAACAACAGACGTAGACTAACAGTGAAATGCTTACTTACAGGCCCTTCCCAACAATGCACAGAGAAAGAAAATAGAGAAATAATATAAAAGTGATAATAAATACACAATGCAGTAACGATAACTTGGCTATATACACGGGGTACCAGTACCGCGGCAATGTGCAGGGGTATGAGGTAATTGAAGTAGATATGTACATATAACTAGGAATAGAGTGACTTACGGAAAAAACACATGATTTCACATGTGGAAAATCACATGATTTCACGTGACATTTCCATATGTTTTGTACATGTGGAATCATGTGAAACCATGTGGGTTTTTTTAACAATTCACGTGATTATGTCGATTTTCACATGTGAAATCATGTGAACAATGTGTTTTTGGAATACTTTGCATGTGATATTTCACATGAAGTTTCACATGTTGATAAAAACATGAGATTTCACAGGTGATACCCTGCAAACAAAAATATGTTATGATACACACAGTGCTTTTAACATACAGTGTTTTCAACTTGGATTTGAACTCACAACTCCGTAGTTCACAAATTAGTAAGTTGAAAATCAATGTCAATGTAAAATTCACAGGAATTGTTGCTATTCACTCACTTAGCTGATGGTCGGGTAGGGAAGGGAGTATTATAGTGACTAGCTACAAATGAAATATGTTTTCACATGTGCTCACGTTGTCAAGTGTGTCATTTTATATTATCACATGTTGCTTCACATGTTGTCACGTTGTCACATGTTATCACATTAACTTCACATTAAATCACATGATCACATGAGATCACATGAGATCATGTCTTCACATGTGAAATTCATGGTTTTTCCATAAGGGATGAGGCAAAAATGTTAGTGCAAAAAGGGTCAATGAAGATAGTTAAATAGCTAACCAAATAGCTACCCAGACTAACTATTTAGTAGTCTTATGGCTTAGGGGTAGAAGCTGTTCAGGGTGTTAATGGTTCCAGACTTGGTGCATCTGTTCCACTTGCCGTGCAGTAGCAGAGAGAACATTCTATGACTTGGGTGGCTGGAGTACTTGACCATTTTTAGGGTCTTCCTCTGACACCGCCTGGTATAGAAGTCTTGGATGGCAGGGAGCTCGGCCCCAGTTATGTACTGGGCCATACACACTACCCTCTGTAGCGCCTTGCGGTCGGATGCCAAGCCGTTGCCATATCAAGTGGTGATGCAGCCAATCAATATGTTCTCAATGGTGCAGTTGTAGAACTTTTCGAGGATCTGAGGGCCCATGCCAAATCTTTTCAGCCTCCTGAGGGGAAGAGGTGTTGTCGTACCCTCTTCATGACTGTGTTGGTGTGTGTGGACCATGACAAGTCCTTAGTGATGTGGACACAGAGGAAATTGAAGCTCTCGACCCGCTTTACTACAGCCCTGTCAACGTGAATGGGGGCATGCTTGGCCCTCCGTTTCCTGTATTCCACGATCAACTCCTTTGTCTTGCTGACGTTGAGGGAGAGGTTGTTGTCCTGGCACCACACTGCCAAGTCTCTGACCTCCTCCCTATAGGCTATCTCATCGTCGTTAGTGATCAGCCCTACCACCGTTGTGTCGTCAGCAAACTTAAGTCATGGTTGAACAGGGAGTACATGAGGGTACTAAGCACGCACCCTTGAGTGGCCCCCGTGTTGAGGGTCAGCGTGGTGGATTTGTTGTTGCCTACCCTCACCACCTGGGGGCAGCCCATCAGGAAGTCCAGTTGCAGAGGGAGGTGTTCAGTCCCAGGGTCCTTGGCTTAGTGATGAGTTTGGAGAGCACTATGGTGTTGAATGCTGAGCTGTAGTCAATGAACAGCATTCCCACATAGGTGTTCCTCTTGTCCAGGTGGTAGAGGGCAGTGTGGAGTGCAATAGAGATTGTGTCATCTGTGGATATGTTGGGGCGGTATGCGAATTGGAGTGGGCCCAGGGTGTCTGGGATGATGGTGTTGTTGTGAGCTATGACAAGCCTTTCAAAGCATTTCATGGCTACAGATGTGAGTGCAATGGGGCGATAGTCATTTAGACAGGTTATCTTGGTGTTCTTGGGCACAGGGAATATGGTGGTCTGCTTGAAACATGTAGGTATTACAGACTGGGTCAGGGAGAGGTTGTAAATGTCAGTGGCGACACTTGCCAGCTGGTCAGCGCATGCTCTGAGTACATGTCCTTGTAATCCATTTGGTCCTTCAGCCTTTGAATGTTAACCTGTTTAAAGATCTTACTCACATCGGCTATGGAGAGCGTGATCACACAGTCATCCGGAACAGCTGGTGCTCTCAAGCATGGTTCAGTGTTACTTGCTTCGAAGAGAGCATAGAAGGCATTTAGTTCGTCTGGTAGGCTTGCGTCACTGGGCAGCTCACGGCTGGATTTCCCTTTGTAATCCGTGATAGTTTGCAAGCCCTGCCACATCCGACGAGCGTCAGAGCCGGCATCGTATGATTAGATTTTAGTCCTGTATTGATGCTTTGCTTGTTTGACGTCGGAGGTCGTATAGGGATTTCTTATAAGCGTCTGAAAGCGGCAGCTCTATCCTTTAGCTCAGTGCGGATGTTGCCTGTAATACATGGCTTCTGGTTGGGATATGTACAGTTGAAGTCGGAAGTTTAAATATACTTAGGTTGGAGTCATTAAAACTCGTTTTTCAACCACTCTACACATTTCTTGTTAACAAACTATAGTTTTGTCAAATCGGTTAGGACATCTACTTTGTGCATGACACAAGTAATTTTTCCAACAATTGTTTACAGACAGATTATTTCACTTATAATTCACTGTATCACCATTCCAGTCGGTCAGAAGTTTACATACACTAAGTTGACGGTGCCATGGCTATAAGTCATGGCTTTAGAAGTCATGGCTTTAGAAGCTTCTGATAGGCTAATTGACATAATTTGAGTCAATTGGAGGTGTACCTGTGGATGTATTTCAAGGCCTACCTTCAAACTCAGTGCCCCTTTGCTTGACATCATGGGAAAATCTAAAGAAATCAGCCAAGACCTAAAATTGTAGACTTCCACAAGTCTGGTTCATCCTTGGGAGCAATTTCCAAACGCCTGAAGTTACCACGTTCATCTGTACAAATGATAGTACGCAAGTATAAACACCATGGGACCATGCAGCCGCCATACCGCTCAGGAAGGAGACGCGTTCTGTCTCCTAGAGATGAACGTACTTTGGTGCGAAAAGTGCAAATCAATCCCAGAACAACAGCAAAGGACCTAGTGAAGATGCTGGAGGAAACAGGTACAAAAGTATCTATATCCACAGTAAAACGAGTCCTATATCGACATAAGCTGAAAGGCCGCTCAGCAAGGAAGAAGCCACTGCTCCAAAACCGCCATAAAAAAGCCAGACTACGGTTTGCAACTGCACATGGGGACAAAGATTGTACTTTTTGGAGAAATGTCCTCTGGTCTGATTAAACAAAAATAGAACTGTTTGGCCTTAATGACCATCGTTATGTTTGGAGGAAAAAGGGGGTGCTTGCAAGCCGAAGATCACCATCCCAATCGTGAAGAACGGGGGTGGCAGCATTCATGCTGTGGGGGTGCTTTGCTGCAGGAGGGTGTACTTCACAAAATAGATGGCATCATGAAGAAGGAAAATGATGTGGATATATTGAAGCAACATCTCAAGACATCAGTCAGGAAGTTAAAGCTTGGTCGCAAATGGGTCTTCCAAATGAACAATGACCCCAAGCATACTTTCAAAGTTGTGGCAAAATGGCTTAAGGACAACAAAGTCAAGGTATTGGAATGGCCATCACAAAGCCCTGACCTCAATCCTATAGAAAATGTGTGGGCAGAACTGAAAAAGTGTGTGCGAGCAAGGAGGCCTACAAACCTGACTCAGTTACACCAGCTCTGTCAGGAGGAATGTGCCAAAATTCACCCAACTTATTGTGGGAAGCTTGTGGAAGGCTACCCGAAACGTTTGACCCAAGTTAAACAATTTAAAGGCAATGCTACCAAATACTAATTGAGTGTATGTAAACTTCTGACCCACTGGGAATGTGATGAAAGAAATAAAAGCTGAAATAAATAATTATCTGTACTATTATTCTGACATGTCACATTCTTAAAATAAAGCAGTGATCCTAACTGACCTAAGACAGGGAATTTTTACTAGGATTAAATGTCAGGAATTGTGAGAAACTGAGTTTAAATGTATTTGGCTAAGGTGTATGTAAATTTCCGACTTCAACTGTACGTACGGTCACTGTGGGGACGACGTCGTCAATGCACTTATTAATGTAGCCAGTGACTGATATCCTGTAGCTTAGCATCCGCTTCATCGGACCACTTCCGTATTGAGCGCGTCACTGGTACTTTTTGTTTAGTTTTTGCTTGTAAGCAGGAATCAATCAGGAGGATAAAGTTATGGTTAGATTTGCCAAATGGACGGCGAGGAAGAGCTTTGTATGCATTTCTGTGTGTGGAGTAAAGGTGATCTGGAGTTTTGTCTCTTCTAGTTGCACATGTGACATGCTGGTAGAAATTAGGTAAGACGGAGTTCAGTTTCCCTACATTAAAATCACGGGCCACTAGGAGAGCCGCCTCTGGATGAGCATTTCCTTGTTTGCTTATGGCCCTATACAGCTTGTTGAGTGCGGTCTTAGTGCCAGCATCGGTTTGAGGTGGTAAATAGACAGCTATGTAAAATATAGATGAAAACTCTCTTGGTAAATAGTATGGTCTACAGCAGGGTTCTTAAATTCCGGTCCTGGAGGGCCGAAACACCTCTGTTTTTCATCCTCTCCTTCTAATCAGGGGCTAATTCAGACCTGGGACACCAGGTGAGTGCAATTAACTACCAGGTAGAAATAAAAAACAGAAGTGTTTCGGCCCACCAGGACCGGAATTGAAGAATCCTGGTCTACAGCTTATCATTAAGTATTCTAACTCAGGCGAGCAGAACCTCGAGACATCCTTAAAGTACCAGCTGTTGTTAACAAAGAGACACACACCTCCCCCATTGAGCTTACCCGATGCTGTCGTTCGAGCCTGCCGATGCATAGCAAAAACCAGCTGGACGTATATTAACCATGTCCTTGTTCATCCACAACACAGAGAAACATATTACAGTTCTTCAGGTCCGGTTGATAGGATAGTCTCGAACAGAGCTTGTCCAGTTTGTTCTCCAGTGATTGTACATTTGTCAATAGAACGGAGGGTAGAGTCTGATTATTTATTCGCCGGTGTAATTTCATTAGGGTAACCACACGTCGGCCTCTCTTACGCCGTCTTTTCCTTTTCCGAGTTTCGGGGATTAGGGCCTGGTGAGCAGTGTCCTGCACCGCCGACTCATTAAAGTAGAGGTTAGTGATCGCTGTTCTGATGTCTAGAAGCTATTTTCGGTCATAGGAAACGACGGCGGAACCATTATGTACAAAAAAAGTTACGATCATCGCAAAAAACACACAAAATAGCAGAATTGGTCAGGAGCCTGTAAAACAGCTGCTATCCATTGCAGCGACATTCTATATACAAGCCTCAGGAGCGGACTGGGACCTGAAATCGTCTCTGGCATTTCTATTACACCTGATCTTTTTTTTTCCTTGAGGCCCCACAATGGCCCATGTTTTTCTCGATGCCCCCACACAAGCCAATTTTATTCCTTGAGGCCCCCATTATTAGCCAGTTAATGATCATTTCGCAAAAAAATCCAAGTAAGACAGGCCCACTAGGCTAGAAATGGACCAGCCTATCTGGTATTTCGGGCAAAGGAATGGACCAGCCCATAGCTAGAAATGGAACCACCCCATCTGGCATTTGCCCAAAATGCCAGATGGCCAATCCTCCCCGGTCAGCCTGTAGATGACAGGGAGTTACTATTGCACAGCTGTCTAGTTTTCATGGCTTGGGACTGGGCACTAGGCCAGATGGTGACATAATTTCCTTAGGCCAGATGGTGACATATTTTCCTTAAAAGCTCTCAGAAATAATTTGACATTAAATGGCAATGGGATCAAATCAAACAGTGATCCAAAACATAAGAAACCAGACAGGAGAGTTTTGGCAAAATGAGACAAAATAATAGCTTGACACACTAAATAAGTTAATAGGTAGGCAGAACATATTTTTTTCTCCTAGAAAAAGTATCATAATTTAAATCCCTAATTGTGTTTGAGAAACAGTTTATTGCAGACTTTTCCAAGGACCGCATATACTAGGCCTTCACCAAGAAAGTGCAAGTCTGTAAGGCTTAGTGAAAGTGAAAGTGTGCAAGATTATTTGAGAGTTGCCCTAGAAGCATACAAGCGCGCAGAAAAAGTATTGAACACGTTCAGAACCATGGTAAAACTGAGTTTCTTTTTTCTTTTGCTTTCATTTTACACCATTGTAAACGCAGGTAAGATTCACTTTTTATTCTCTCTCATATCTCATTTAGTATAAATCTTGATTCTAGGAGCAGCGTGAGCACCAGCCTAGGTAGTGTTTAGTACCAGACTGCAGCCAAAACTCATAGGAAAACCGAGTCAAATATTTTCAGAAGCTTTTCAGACATAACCATTGTAAACAATATTCACTGATCTTATTTTCAGGATCTCATTCTCTGTGGGCATTTGCAACTTATATCTCAGGAGAAACACCTTTCCCTGAGTGTAGTGTTGTGTTGATGCAGGATGACATTCAAGTTGGCTACTTTGACTCCAACATTGAGCAGTTCATCCACAAGGGACATAACGCCCCAGACAAAACAGAGGTTGATGTAGCTCAAGACGCAGCTTATGTGTTTGGACGCATGTTCCTCAGCATGAAAAGGCAACTGTCAATCCTGAGGTATCGCTTTAATTCCACAGGGAATATAGATGTTAAGCAGAGAATGACTGGCTGTGAGATGTTGGATAATGGTGAACCCGGCCTTATTCTGTCCACGGATGCTTTCAATGCAATTTTTGCAGATTTAATATATTACAACATGACACATTATTCATAGAATTCTGGATACCTACTGTCGCCATGGAGTGAGGTGCATCAAACATATGCAAAATGGCGTTATCAGACCATTTACCTACCAATTTGCATAAAAACATTGAAGATATTTCTGGAGAGAGAGAAGAACTTTGTGATGCCAGAGTCAGGCTCATACAGAAAGCCATGTCTGGAGGGGCACGTGTGAGCTGTCTGGCATTTGGTTTTTACCCCGCCACATCAATCTGACCCTGCTGAGAGATGGCCAGCCAATAGTAGAACAGGAGTTGACTGGGGGCCAGCTGCTGCCCAATGGAGATGGGACCTACCAGCTGAGAAAGAGTCTAGAGGTCAATACAGAGGAGCTGAGAGAGAGACACAACTACACCTGCACCGCCACCCACCTCAGTCTGGACAACAAGCTGGATGTCAGCTGGGTACCTGAGTCTGGGACAGACAGAGTGGGTCTATATGCCATTTCAGTTCCACTGGCCATGGTGGCCATAATTATTCTACTCAGCATTTTCGTTTGTGTAAGGAGGAGAAACACGGCTGGCTCCCAGACATTGTCACAGCTCTCCAACGCTGATTATGCACAAGTGGCCGAGCAAATTAGCCTGTCTTTACATTCTGAGTCCTGATATATTTGCTGCTGCCACTCATGCAAAGACTTTCTCAATTCAGCTCAATTCAAAGAGAAAAGTCAATAAAATGTAGGCTGATCCATAATATACAGTATGTAGCCTAATAAAGACAAGTATTTGTATGATGCAGTGGTGCATTAGCAAATCGAAAATGTGTACTGATAGTGCTATGACATATGTATTGATTTTATATGTAAAAAAGTGTTTTGTCCTGCATTAAAGTTCCATCAAAACCATCATGACACAAAAAGATCATTGGAGTTTGGTTAATTACCAATGAGGAGCAGGAAATCTTACCACAGAAGAAAAACGGAATATCAGAAATACTGTTTATCCTATTTATCACAACGTCTTTCACATCAGATACCATAGGATATGAATATTCAGTCAGATTCTTGATGTACTGTATTTTATTAGAGGGGCAGCAGACATCAGCCAGCTGTGGGGGCTGCAACTCTACTTCACACCACAAGGTGTCGCTCCAAACTAAAAGTAGGCTACTACCAGAAACTCAATTAGGTTGCTGGATTTATGTGTAATTCCAGTTCCAGTAAATTCTAACATAGACCACACAAAGATATTGAAAGGGATATTGCCCAGAGACTGTAGCCTATTTTAGGAAGTTACATTTAATGCTGTGATAGGCTACAAGGTTCAACATTTTCCTATTTTTCTTATTTTTTTACTAATGAATGAGACAACTAACAAATCTTGAATAAGATCGCCATTGTCCACATTTCAAATAATACACTGTTAAATAAATTGTTCATTAGTTTAATTAGTTTACAATGTTTTACCCCATTCTGTTCAAAAACTGCCCAGTGATAGAAGATGGAAAGCTCAGGGTCAGGGATATAAATAAAACGTAAAAGTATTACATGTATGCCCGGTAAGCATTACATCTCTGACCGCTCAGTGACACACGAGTTGTTTACAAACACATAGTTACAGGGGATGGAATAGAAAACCGTCACGGATAGGCCTATACCGGTTAAATCATGCATAGTGCGTTTTCTCTCTCCCTTTCCCTCTCTCTCCGCCCTCTCTCTCTCCCGCCTCCTCCGAGTCACCACCCCTACCGTGTGTAGGGGAGAGTTTAAAACCAGTCTTAAGACGCAGGACACTTGTCAGAGGGACAGTGCTTTGCTTTCGCGGACTAGTAGTGGACAGGTGCAAGAACGTTGTTATTGGAAAAACCCGCGGAGTTTACTTCGTCCCGAACAAGTTAATTATATTGGATACTTTTGAGATTCACAAGACAAGAAAAATGAAGTCTCCAAAGTTGAAGTCTCAAGGCAAATGTAAGTTAGACCATCTCATTTGTTGTTCTTACGACTTCCACTGGACAATGCATTGAACACTGAGCATTGCATTACGTTATTGAACCTTTCAGAAAGGGAGCCATAAAGTTATGTGAAATAGTGCAAGTGTGGTTCTTATTCAACAGCTGTTACAATGTAACAATGTTTCAATGTAACGTGTGTTGCAAATATTTTAACGACACAAAAACATAGACTATCGATAGGTTGCATGGGATAGGCTAAATTAATAGAGAGCAAATTAAATAAAAATATATTTTGAATGAGAATGGTTGTGGGATAGGCACACCAGTCCAGTAAAGTAACACATGCTTCTTCCCTCCGTTATTTCAGCTAATTTCCTTGAGGAGGATGATCTGTCTGACGTGCTGTGTGAGTTCGACGCGGTGATCGAGGATTTCACTTCCCCGGTGGAGAAGAGACACTTCCGGTACGACGAGCACCTGAAGACTGTGAAGAGACGGAGCAGCGCCAGCGTCAGTGACAGTGGCATCAGTGACTCAGAAAGTAAGTGAACCACACGCACACACACACATACACACACACACACACACACACACACACAGTTGTCCTAATATCGAAAGACAGTGTAGCAATTGTGCGGTGATGCCTGAAACAGGGTTTGAACCAACGACCTTGCAGCTACAGGGCAAGCACACTCCTGTGCCATAAAGGTACAGACCTCCTGACAGAGCCTACAATTACATAGCCAACAGGGGGGCAACAGTAGTAGTACAAACACTCTCAAGTAGTGAAAGGAGCTATCTATAGCCTAGATATGTTACTGTTTGCACTTTGAGGCTCACAATACCTGCTACTCAGTATAGTGCCAGACAGAATTGCCATTTGTGCTAGATTATATCTTATCATGTGTCCCATAAGTGCTCTTCCCGGTCTGCTGAAGAACTATAGCAGGCGGACACACACTCCCTGCCACCACTGATGATAAGCATCAATGTTTGGAAACCTTCAATTTCTCAGTACTACTGAATGAGTGGTCTCTCTCTCTCTCTCTCTCTCTCTCTCTCTCTCTCTCTCTCTCTCTCTCTCTCTCTCTCTCTCTCTCTCTCTCTCTCTCTCTCTCTCGCTCTCGCTCTCTCTCCCCCAGAGTGTCTGCCAGCCTCTCCTCATGTTCAGACTGCCAGTGCTGTTATTGTTGCCCACACTGGGGTGCAGCTCTCTTTCAGCCATGCAGCCATCCATCAGTCCTTACACACAATAGCCCTCCCATGCATGAGACAGATCACTCTTCAATAGAGTACCATGGAGAGGACAGGACCCACACAGGAATCCTAGTCCTAATGTTTTTACACTTGTCTGTAGATAACATGTTTAGGTAACTCTTCACATTAGGTTCCTCTTAAAATCTGTGTACAGTAGTTATGCTATAATAATTACATTATTACATACTCTTTTAGTTATTACTAAAACAGATAAATGAAATAGTAACTCTCTCTGTGAATGCCGGGCCCCGGTCTTAAACATGCAAACTGGACACTACCCTTCCTAACTCGTTCTGCAGACGTGGAGTTTGTAGAACACACTACAGAGCACCATGATGTTATCCTTTCACATCTTCCCTCAGAAACCCCAACCCACTCACTTGTGGTTGGGAAATTAAATCAATGTCCGCTGGGGGAGTGGGAGCATATTTCTGTCTGTGTGTAACTGTGTGAGGCTATCACATTTGGATTAGGGCCCGAGGCGTAGCACACACACACACACACACACACACACACACACACACACACACACACACACACACACACACACACACACAAACACCCCGTATGGTAATGCACAGCTTGACGTCTGGGAGACTGCATAGCTGCTTATGACAATAAAATCTAAGAGCGTATAGGCTACCACAGAGACAAGGCTGAGTTGGAATATGGGGGCTTGTGTGCCAAATATGCAGCAGTAGCTCAATCTAAATCCAAGATCTCTGGACCTAGATCAAGGTTTGTGTGTGTGTGTGTGTGTGTGTGCGTACTTGCATGTGGTGCTGAGAGGTGGAGGTCAGGGGTTACTCTAGGTATGTGCTGTACATCAGAGCCACTCTGTCAGGGTCCAGTGGAACTCTTGAGTGAGGAGAGAAAGAGAGAGAGAGGAGACAGGAGAGAGAGCGAGAGAGAGAGAGGAGAGAGAGAAAGAGAGAGAGATGTTTTGAGGTTTGCACGTTAAGCTGCTTATGCTGTAGTAGTTAGCCTCATACTCCTAGTCAGACCTGTCAAGAGGGTTAATACAAGGATTAAGTAGCAGACCAGCAGACCTCAATCTAAGCAGGAGTTGAGAAAGGAGTTCCATTACCTTTGGATTGGAGACAGCACAGTGAACTGAATGCATTTCTGTTGAAAATGACCATAGTAAAACAACTCGTTTTTGGGACAGTCCCTCCATCTACAGTACCCACCCTGACTTTATAACATACTTCATAGTCGGACAAAATTGAGCTGTTTAGAATTGGAATGAATTCCACTATACTGCCCATTTCTATATTTTACTGAGGAGAAACAACAGTTATCTTACTCTCTCCTTCTCCCACCACCATTCCTTTCCCGGAAAAAAACAAACGGTGAAACAGACCTGTCGTGTTCTGTGGCCGGTTGAAATATCTACTGGCGGAATCAATGTGTTCATTATGTCACTTATGCAATCACACAGTCAACGCTTTGACCAGTTTTACCACTGTGGGGGAATGCAGGATGGAGAGTGCTAACGTGTGTGTGTGTGTACTAGACGTGGCAGAGTTAAATCAAGCACGCACTATTTATCACACAGGAGAAATATGTCCCTCTCTGAGTTAGGGTTAGGGCTACATCTCAATAGTTGAAGAGAGAGCTAGAGAAAGAGAGAAAGAGAGAGAGAGCCCAGCTGTTAAATAGTGGCATTTTGTTTTGACTTCCCACCACCCTCTACTAATTTCCCCTGCCATGACCCTTTCACACTAACCTCACTGACGTCTGTCAAGTTATGAGTTAGGGAACTAACAGTCAGTCTGCTAGTGTGTGTGCGTGTGTGTGTGTGCGTACGTGCTTGCGAGCAAGTGTGTGTGTGTGTGTGAACAAAACATATGGATGTGTTAATAGGCCCTACAGCAGCTTTGGGCATACAGAAAGGTGAACAGTCTTTTAATCTCTCTCCCCTCTCTCTCTCTCTCTCTCGCTCTCTCCCCCCTCTCCCCCTCTCTCTCCCTCTCTTTCTCTCTCTCTCTCAGGTGCTGAGTCGCTGAACAGGAACAGCTTCAGTTTCAGTGATGAGAGACTGAACTCTCCCACCATCTTCTCTCCCTCTCCCACCTCCCCCCCACCTCTCACATCACCCAAAGGTGAGCCTCGACACACACACATGCACGCACACACACTCGCACACACAGAAATGCACGCATGCACACACACAACCGTCAACATTCTCACCTTTACACACACACGTCATTCTGACTATAACTTTTCTATACTGTATGCAAACAGGAGGCGTTTGTTTAGACAGAAAGATAGAGGCAGGATTAAACATGATGTGTGTTTTAGGAGAAGTCAAATGTTATGATAGGCAGACCTATTGCCTTATGCTTAGAACACTTCAGCTATCCTCAGCTATTCCAATAGGTCACCTATTAACTAAGTAGCGTTCAAGTGACTCATTCTTCTTGTTTAGTATTGTAGTAGGTATGTGTATATTTGTAGTAGATAATGCCATGTAATGGTCGATTCACATAATACATGATACTTGTTAAAATGAGGTTATGCAATTGCAGGTGGACAATACCGTTCTACTCTGTTCTATTCTATTACCTGACCCTCTCGCTATGTTGTTTACAGCCAAACTGGGAGACACTAAAGAACTGGAAGACTTCATTGCTGACCTTGACAAGACATTAGCGAGTAAGTGCTATTAGCTTACACCATTCACAGTACACTGTAAAAAGTAACTGCCTAACTCATTCAAGAAATTGAGTAGTGGCAACTCAAACATCTCCAATAGTCAGTAGAACTCAAATCATAAAAGTAGTACTAACTCAGATGTCAATAAGATTTCTTATCACTTAATGTTTTTGAGTACTGTTAACAAATATTAGGTTATTGAGAAAATATAACTGTATTTATTTATGTTCTGCTAATCTAGTTATTGCATTTTTAGAAGTTATTGTGATTTAATATTTTAAAGTCAATATAATATTTATTAAAAACTGTAAGTTGTTCTTACTTGATTCTATTATGTTTTACGTCTTTACTTAAAATAATTAAGTACATTTACGTCATGTAGTAGTCAGACACATTGATATTTGAGTAAAAAGTTATGAATACTTTTAGTGCCACTTGGCTCTGTTTTTAGAGGATTTATGATACTTGTACACAATGTTGTAGGCACGTTCAAAGAAAGAAAATTATATTTCTAGTATATAGTATTAAGCAGTTTGTTGTGCTATGAGGTGTAATTGATCATGATGAACAGATATCAAAACCGTCGGACAAATTGATGTTCAATAATGAGACAAGTCATTCCCACCATTAACAAGGTAATGTGCACCACTCTCAATGACAGAGGCTAATGCAGCATCCTATAATGTTTACAGCTCTATCTCTAGTTCCTGCTAGAGGATTGAGCACTGTGCTCAACAATGCCTGTTAAGGTGGGTTAAAATGACAAATCGTCAAATACATAAAACAATGTTAAACATTAAGACACGACCACTGAAAATTACTAATCAGAACTACTTACACTTGAATTTTTTGTAATGAAGGTTCATCATTTAAGTAAAAGGGACCCTACATTTTAATGTTAACTACAACAAATATTAATGTTCAAGTAACTTCAAGCATTATAATTCAGAATACATAATACAATTGAAGGTCAAAAAGTTCATAAAACACAAAAAAATTAAAAAGATAACAATATGGGTGGTGATGATGTCACTTTATTACTTTAAGTATTGAACACTGAAATACTTTGAATTGGTTTTAGGCAACAGGTTTCCACCCAAAAAATGTGTTAGCAGAACTAATTACTTTTTTACAGTGTACTCAGTCAGTCTTCTCTATGCTAACTATGTTAGCTATGCTAACCATATAGCTACATGACTGTCACGCCTCTCTGTTTTTCCGAAACAATAAGCTCTTAGCGTTCAGTTCTAAACACGGTTGGGGTATGGGGATGTATGAGGATGTATGAGGATGTATGGGGATGTATGGGGATGTATGGGGATGTATGGGGATGTATGAGGATGTATGGGGATGTATGAGGATGTATGGATAGGCCATGTAAGGCCTCGAGGGAAAGGGAAGATATCCCTTTCAGCTGTCACTCATGTCATTATGCCTTGACACACACAAATGCATGCACGCGCACACACACACACGCACGCACGCATACACACACACGCACACATACACACACACACACACACACACGCAGCAGCCTATGGCAGCCTATGTAAGAATGTAACCCGAGAGAGAGCCTAGTTTATGTGGCGGGTACAGACCAACATAGCTCAGTTTATTTGTTTTGGACCGATCCTTTACTACAGAAGTCCAGAGTGTTGGAACTTGCATCAGGGCGGTTACATTGGAATGTGCCCGTGTAAAACCTGGGGTGGAATGGGAACTATAAATGTCAGCTTCGGAATTGGAATTACCAATGGAAGTGTTCCGGTGCTTTTCTTAACACTTACTGGACAGAGAAGGCCAGGCGGTTAGAGTACTGAATGTTCCTCATTCAAACCAATGGGACGGTTAGTCATTCAGTCACATTAAACAATGGGAAAGCAAGTCACATAAAGTAAAGGGACAGTCAGTTATTTGTCATTCAGGTTAAGCAGAGCCTGGCATTTTTATTAGGGTCTACAGTGTTAATGATGGCTGCCCAGTAAAACTGCCCCCTCCTAACTAAGAATAGTGTTGGACTGCCAAGGAGCCAGAGGCTATTGCTAAGCACTGTGTGTGAATCTGTTTGTCCGTCTTTCCTGAGGCACGTAGAGGAGTCTACAGTCCATTACTAATCAAACGTCTGTCTGTCTCTCCTTAGGCATGTGACACGGAGCTGAAGAGAAGTGGCAGAGACCCTTTTTGGAGAGTAGCCATCGAGAGGAGGGGACACCTTGTCCAGCACCCCAGAACACACACACACCGGGAGGGCTGTGAACATGGCACAGGAACAGTCACAGTGACCGTCAGACTTGCTGAACAATTTCATCTCAAGGCTGTGTCCCAATAGTATGAGACAGCTTCATCTCCTTGTCTCCTTTCCTTCTCCTCATCTCCTTTCCCTCATTATCTGATCTGATTGGACTGGACTGGATAGGTTTTTCTAGGTTTGTACAGTAAGAATGGGCAAATCTGAATTGGCACCTCATGCTATATGGCATAGGGTGATATTTCGTACGAAGACCCAGTTTAAAAGCTATTAGCAGTCATGGAAGAGAGGAGACTAGGGGAGGAAATTAGGAAGGAGACAAGGAAAGGAAGCTTTATAAAAGTATTGGGACACTGTTAGACAGACAAACACCATCTCACATACATGGGGCAGTCTGTGCGTCCTTTATACAAAACTTGAGCTGGAAGATTATTTAAGAAATAGCTTTTTACAATAGAAGTATATTTGTCATTTTATAGAGCTGGTCATTGTAAATGTATCAATAATACCTTTTTGTGAAATATATTTTTGTATCTATGTGTAAATAATAATTGTTTCAAATTCTATTGTCTTGGTATTAAAAAGCGTATATGATAAGTTTAAGGTTTGGCACTTGTTGACTGAAGTTGAGATGTTTGATGCTTCTAACGAATGCGAAGTAAAATCTGGATTAACTCTGAAAAACTGGAATGCAACAAAATGTATTGAATACAGCTAATGTCAATTGCCTACCAGAGAATATTAAAATGAAATATTGTTGTTTTAAAATATCTCTTCTCGTTTTTACCCCTGGCTTGCTTTATTGGTCTCCCTTTTAACAGGGCTATATTGTGGGGGGTGGGGGGGGGGGGGGGGGTGTTTGAGTGACAGCTGGTCACTGGCCACCGCCTTGGCACTTAAGGACTGTGTCCCTCTGTGTCCCTGTCTCTATGACTTCTATGAGAGGTAGTCAGTGACCTGCTGTTGGTGTTTGTGCAGCTCTGTGCACAGCTCTATGGGGCTGAGACAGACACACTGAATTAGACATTCCAAATTCCAGGGCTCTTGTGATCATTACTCATCTCTTCAACAAAGCTAGTGGTTATGAAACTATGGCTATTTATAGACTGAGGTTGGGATATATTAGGGTGGGACTCTCTGTTGCTGAATGGCAGGTGGGGTTAGGAGGTGTCTATAAGGGATATTCTGTTGGTCAGGGTCAAAGGTCGTTGAGAGAAGACAGACTTCCCCCTAGCGGCTTCACAGTAACATTACAGCTAGTGATGATGAGGAGTTCACCTCTTTCTACTGGGATCTTTCGGATAATTTTGTTTTCAAATAAAAGGATTCAAGAAAGACCACAGTTATAGAGTTTGGAGACTCTCCTCTGACTGTCATCCCTATCTGCATGTGACTCTGAAGCAGCCAGATATCTGCCAGTCTGTGTTACTGCAACCATTGGGGCAGGAAGCTGGCAGAGACCCACCCTCCATTTTGTTTCTTTAGTACAGTTGGCACAGGGCAGAGCAGAGCCCACTGCAGCCCAGCTGCAGTCCACCTGATGGCATTGTCCTGTGCCAGGGAGAAACTGGGTCCGGGCAGACGTGTTGACACAACACATGATCCCTCTGGGCCCAATGGTCCCTTGGCATCTAAAACAACGCATCCCGTCGGCAGTTCCGGGCGCCTTTTTGGCACTGCCAGCACGTTGGGAATGGCGCTGCATGGGCTTGGCAGTTGGCAGTGGACCCAGCCTCTAGATCCCAGAGAGATGCCAGCCACATCCAGGGGCACTGGGCTGGAAGTGTGGGAAAGACGAGGGACATGGATCAGGTAAGGGGGCAGAGGACTGGATGGCAGAGTGTGGACGTTGGGCAAGCAGGGGTAGTAGTTGGGTAGAGGTATCGGAGGTCTATTCAATGGGGGATGGTGGTTAAATGGGTAGGAGGAGGAGAAGCCATTATTTTGGCTTTAACAGTTCCTACAGAGATAATGATGCATGGGGAAGCATCAGTTGGTTTGGACTGAACTGAGAAGTCGGTACCATTCACCTTATGATTATGCAATGGTAAAGTGGTTTCAATGCAGCTGTCAAAGCCAGTTGGGTCATAGATGTTTCACTATGAATATGCACGCACACACACACGCGCACACACACACGCGCACACACATTGTTTTCATCAGAAGAGAAGAGGTTGCAAATGTGTTCAATGTTTCCGGCAATCAGTAAATAATACTGACAAAATTGTACAGTTGAAGTCGGAAGTTTACATACACCTTTGCCAAATACATTTAAACTCAGTTTTTCACAAATCCTGACATTTAATCCTAGTAAAAATTCCCTGTTTTAGGTCAGTTAGGACCACCACTTTATTTTAAGAACGTGAAATGTCAGAATAATAGTAGAGAGAATGATTTATTTCAGCTTTTTTTTCTTTCATCACATTCCAAGCGGGTCAGAAGTTTACATACACTCAATTAGTATTTTGTAGCATTGTCTTTAAATTGTTTAACTTGGGTCAAATGTTTCGGGTAGCCTTCCACAAGCTTCCCACAATAAGTTGGGTGAATTTTGGCCCATTCCTCCTGACAGAGCTGGTGTAACTGAGTCAGGTTTGTAAGCCTCCTTGCTCGCACACACTTTTTCAGTTCTGCCCACACATTTTCTATAGGATTGAGGTCAGGGCTTTGTGATAGCCACTCCAATACCTTGACTTTGTTGTCATTAAGCCATTTTGCCACAACTTTGGAAGTATGCTTGGGTTCATTGTCCATTTGGAAGACCCATTTGCAACCAAGCTTTAACTTCCTGACTGATGTCTTGAGATGTTGCTTCAATATATCCACATCATTTTCCTTCCTCATGATGCCATCTATTTTGTGAAGTGCACCAGTCCCTCCTGCAGCAAAGCACCCCTACAGCATGATGCTGCCACCCCAATGCTTCACGGTTGGGATGGTGTTCTTTGGCTTGCAAGCCACCCCCCTTTTTACTCCAAACATAATGATGGTTATTATGGCCAAACAGTTCTATTTTTGTTTCATCAGACCAGAGGACATTTCTCAAAAAAGTACGATCTTTGTCCCCATGTGCAGTTGCAAACCGTAGTCTGGCTTTTTTATGGCGGTTTTGGAGCAGTGGCTTCTTCCATGCTGAGCGGCCTTTCAGGTTATGTCGATATAGGACTCGTTTTACTGTGGATATAGATACTTTTGTACCTGTTTCCTCCAGCATCTTCACAAGGTCCTTTGCTGTTGTTTTGGGATTGATTTGCACTTTTCGCACCAAAGTACATTAATCTCTAGGAGACAGAACCCGTCTCCTTCCTGAGTGGTATTACGGCTGCGTGGTCCCATGGTGTTTATACTTGCATACTATTGTTTGTACAGATGAACGTGGTACCTTCAGGCGTTTGGAAATTGCTCCCAAGGATGAACCAGACCTGTGAAAGTCTACAAAGGTCTTGGCTGATTTCTTTTGATTTTCCCATGATGTCAAGCAAAGAGGCACTGACTTTGAAGGTAGGCCTTGAAATACATCCACAGGTAAACCTCCAATTGACTCAAATGATGTCAATTAGCCTATCAGAAGCTTCTAACGCCATGACATCATTTTCTGGAATTTTCCAAGCTGTTTAAAAGCACAGTCAACTTAGTGTATGTAAACTTCTGACCCACTGGAATTGTGATACAGTGAATTATAAGTGAAATAATCTGTCTGTAAACAATTGTTGGAAAAATTACTTGTGTCATGCACAAAGTAGATGTCCTAACCGACTTGCCAAAACTATAGTTTGTTAACAATAAATTTGTAGAGTGGTTGAAAAACAAGTTTTAATGACTCCAACCTAAGTGTATGTAAACTTCCGACTTCAACTGTATATGCTACAATTATGCTCTACACTAGACATTGGGTAAATCCATTTGAATTCAATCACTTTTGAGTGTATGTAAACTTCCGATTTCAACTGTCTATAGCTTTATCAGTAGTCAATCATGTACAATATAGGGAAAGATCTAGGCAACAGGGACTGTCAAATCCTTATTAATTTTTACAACATTGTGGGCATGCAGAGATGCAGAGAATGAAGTTGGGTTACTTCTAAGTAACTTTGGGTTACTCCTAAGTCATCATCTCCAACATTTTGACCTTACATTATAGCGCTTTGCTTTGGTGTGGATTGAGGCCTATACATCAGTTGTGTTACTCCACTGTATTCACTTTTCCTTATTTCTACTGGGGATTGTGTTTCTGCTTACTGATGGAAAGTCTACAAACCTATGAGACAAGTCTTTGTAATGAATACATGATACCGATGAATGAATCCTTCACACAACGTGCTTATTTTCCATTTTCTTTTTGATCAGGAATTATAATTGATTTATTGTATGAAATTCTTTGGTGAAATATGCATAAAATGAGAGTCATTTCCCATAATTCTGTGCCTTTTGATAGTTGTATTTCATCATGATTTAGTGACTGCAAAGAAAATCTATTGATCAACTGGAATATTTTTAAATACTAACTTTCTGTTTTGTCTGCTTGGACTCAAGAGAAATGTATGTTTGTGTTAATCTTTTTGCAGATAGACGTGTTCTTGTGATGAATGTATTTGCAATTTTGACGGTCTCATACAGTTTTGATGAATGTATTTATGTTTTGAGATGGCAACTACATTTTGAAAATGCATTTACTGTTTTGCAAAAGGCCACAGAGTTCTGTGTCTTGAGAACACTGTTTTGAAAATCGACAACATTGTTCCAATAAATGTTTGTATGTGATTGAGGAAAAACTGTAACAAGCTTTCTACAGATGACAGATGCAAAGCAGTTCTTTCTACAGTTATTCAGTTATCGTGTCCTACTGTGTAGTTTCTCAAGTTTCACATTCATTATGATGAAGACATGTTATTTTTAATCAATTTGAAAGACCTATGACCTAACCAAACATCTGTGTGACTATGCTGACTCACTCTGCTATGAGGAAATGATGATGCAGACAACTACTGCTATGTTTGGTCTAAAATGGACAAATAGCCAAAGATTCACCTCGTATTTGTCTACGAATGGGTATTAGTCAGCATAGCAAGAGATGGAGAATACTCCAATGATGGGAACCCACCCACATCTCCAAACTGATTTCACACAACCCCAAGACTCCCATGACCTCTCACACACACACACACGCATGCGCACGCACACACACACACACAAACATGCACACACACACGTATGTCTTACTATACATGTGAGGACATTTTGGGGACCAACAATTGATTACCATTCAAAATCCTATTTTCCTTAACCTCTAACCCTAACCCTAAACCTAAACCCAACTCCTAACCCCTAACCCTAATTCTAACCCTAACCCTAAACCTAACCCCTAAGCTTAAAATAGCATTTTTACAAGTGAGGACCTGCAAAATGCCATCACTTTTCTGAATTTTAG